GAAACTTTGGTTGGAGCAGTCATTCCGCCATCGAGAATTGACGTATATTGTAGCGCATTCTTCTAGGAAGGGAAATCTTGCTGTGAAAAGGCTCGGTACGGTAACCAATTTGTGTTTGCCTGGGAAGTGGTTGAATTGTTTCTGCTTAACTCTTCCATCTTGTATGAAGCTTTAGATAGATTCTAAATAGAGATTAGTTTTCTGCTCAAGGGAGGATAGATAGAATGAAAAAGACATCACTATCTTAATTATAGTACTTTAGGCGAAATCGTGATAGAAATTTAAGATCTGAATGTTGTGGTGGATGTAGCAGCTCAGGCATCGGCGATGACTACATGCTTTTTTGATAAAGGTAAGTAAGAAGCCTTTCGGACGACAACGTGTCAGGATGATCTGCCCCGAGCTTACTCTTCCGCAGTGCCACTACCTCCTCCGTCAACGACAGTGCCTCGACTCGTCGTCCAGCCCCGCCGTACCGATTCGCTAGATTACCCATCGACTTCAACGTGTCAGGATGATCCGCCCCGAGCTTACTCTTGTGTAGTACCACCACCTCCTCCGTCAACGATAGTGCCTCGACTCGTCGTCCGGCCTCGCTGTACCGATTCGCTAGATTGCCCATCGACTTCAACGTATCGGGATGATCCGCCCCGAGAACGCTCTTCCGCAGTGCCACCACCTCCTCCATGAGGGGTAGAGCATCTTTCATCCATCCATTCTCTGACAGAATAAGACCCAGCACGGGCCAGTCCTCCATCTTTTCCTCCTCACTCAACGCGTCCTCCGCATCCGGCACCCGAAGGAGCTCCTGCACGTGCGACACCAACGACCGTCGAAACGTGTAGTCATCGCTGGCAAATTCCCACTTTACGGACCGAGCTAATAGCGATAGGGCCATTCGGTAGTTGACCTGTCGCTTCTCGTCCGACTGGCGATCCCGACACCACTCGTGAACGAGAAGATGGAGGGATATAGACGCGTCTGCGTTCCGCGTGATCAACGAAAACGATGCCAGTAAGGTCACGGATGCTCGCACCGCTTGTCGATAGTCAGAGAAGTCCGAAATCGTGTCGCGCCACGGCACGCCTTCGGGGACCCGCCCCGTCCGCGATTGATCTCCGGCGTGATAAAACATCTGCATGGGAATTTGATCATAGTGGTAGAACCCGAGAAGATCCAACAACCGTAGGGTATGATCACCCACCCGGCCGTGCCTCGACGCGATCATGTCGACCGATACTTGCCATGTCGCGTACACACTGTACTGGTAGTCCGTCCCAGTGTGGGTCGGGTGACGCAGAAGGAGATCGTTTCGGCGACGATGGTAAATTTCAAGATACTCGCAATGTGAACATGCGGTCTCGCGGATATAAGCGCCGGCCTGGACAATAGCGAGCGCGAGACGGCCTAGGGTTTCGACAATCTTCTTGCTCGTCTCCGTAGCTCCCTCCGGCGGGTTTCCCGTTCCATAGATGGTCTTGTCGAGGAGCGAGATGGAATCAGGTAGCGGTAATTGACCCACTTCCCGATATCCGACTGTATTGTAGTGTTGATATTGAGGATTGCGACTGGTGATGATGATGTCGCCTCGGTTTCCCGCCGGGAGGTAGGGGGCAAGACTGAGATTGGGATCGTCGGCGTTATCGAACACGAGGAGCCAGGCTTCCGCGATATTAGCCAGTTTCCTTTTGACGCTGTCGATATCCTCGTCTACCTGGAGCATACGGGCGAACTGGGTGAAGGACCGTTGGATGTTTTCGTCGGTACTAGCGTCCACCCAGAATATGCCCCAGTATCTGAATCACGGCGCGTATCAGTCAGAGAGGTAGAGAGATAGAGAGGCAGAGAGAGAGGAGTAGAGCACCACTATACGAGTACGGAACATACCTCTCCCGCTGATCTTGAATGTATTTGAGACAGATCTGGGTCTTACCCGATCCTCCCAGCCCAAAGAACACAAACCGCCGTTGAGAACCAGTCTGTGAAGGTGATCTCGCGGCGAACGATACGGTAAGGTACCGAAGATCTTCATCACGTCCAGTAAAGGCCGGGCTCAACAGATGAGGGACGTCAAAGTATATATTTTTGAATACTGAGATATGATATGTCATTAACTATATCTTCTCTCCGCAGGGTGCTCATCACGACATACCCGGATTATCATTTGTGGCAGTCTGTGGATCCTTCCTCATTCTCTTCATCCTCTTGTACACCTTGTCGAAGGTGGGATCATCCTCCGTGTCGAACTTGCACATCGCACTGTGGTCGGCGTCCACCGGGATCTGTTCTTCGTGGGCCACTTCAAGTAAAGCGGAGTACTTTTCCACGATCTAAGCCGAGTTAGCCATCAAAACATCGAGATTGAGTGGTAGCGCCTCCTACTAGACTCGAAAGACCTTTCATCGGTCGCTGCTCATAAAAGCTGTAAACCTGATAGTCGGGCAGCTGAAACTTGAAATCGCTCGTCAACCGCAGCAAGACGTCGGAGTTCGTTTGGAGGGCCGTCAATAGGCGCGCGGGGGGCCGATGGCTCATAAACTGCGCGACGTTCGCCAGTACTTTACCATACGTCGCCTTGTCGCTACCCCGATGCGGCGTGCCCAGGAAAATGAGACCCAGCGTCGCCACCTTGATCGACTCGTATAGCGGCTCCAGCCGTGCTTGGAGCAGAGCCTAGAAGATCATCAACCGCCGAGATCTTCTATAGACAGTCCCAGCATCGACATACTTGTTTCACCACGATGCCACCGAGCGAGTGTGCGATAAAGATCAGGGGGCGCTGAACCTCCTAACCAGGGTCAATATTATCTTCACACGTGCGTCGTCCTGGTCTTGTACCTTGGGCTCCTCTCTCTTATCCACCAAACTACTCAGCAGGCTTTTCGCATGGTCAATCACCTCCGCGGTTGACTGTCCAAATGCGGCGGCGGCGTTGTAACCGAAGGTCATGATGCGAGCATCGGGGATGAGCGGTGGGAGGAAGTCTTTCAGCCAGAATGCTTTCGATTTCGGGTGCGTCCAGGTGTCGATGGCGTCACCACCGAGGCCATGGACGGCCACGATGCTGCGGTGGAAAGCCTCCGTTAGTGATTCTTAGAGAATAAGGGAATATCATCGTCGGTGGTATTTCAGACTCACTCAACAGCAGCTGGCGTCGATATATCGTTAGGAGCGTACACGACGGACAGCGCCATGGTAAGGATTGACTTAGTAGGCTAGGCCACCAGGCTGAGGAAGCATTCAGACGCTGCCAGTGTTCGAATCACGGTAGCGTTATCAATGTCGACTGCGACGGGCAGACTCGTGGAGAGTGTACCAGTGCAGCATGAAGGACAGCATCAGGCTGCGGGAACAGCGGCATCTTCGACAGCCTCAGGCGGTTCAGCTACTGGGCGCTTAGGCTGTGGTATTAGGCGCTGAGGCTGCGCAGTGTCTAGAACGTAGGGTCTGGCGCCGGGGAGATGAAATGCGACCATTGATTGGGGGATCCGGGATCACGCGTCGGATCCCAGCAGCGTACATTCAAGGCGGCAAGATGCCACTAGCCACGTGGCGGCGGCTTTGAGCCACAACAGTGGCTACCTCTTACGGCTTATTTACGCCCCGCCGTTCTCGGGTCGGTCCTCGGCTGTTTGTTGATCATTGTGGAAGTACCTGACCGGGGTGGTCTGTGGCAGGATATGGCCGCACATATCGTGGGCACTTATAGCTACTAATATAATAATCAATACTACGATTCACAGATTAGTATGTTCTATTCCTATTATGCTGAATAGCTACACAAGCTGGTATTGCGCTCTCCAGAGGCAGCAGACGGATTCTGCACTTTTTCACCTGGATGAGGAAACCGAGCGTCAACGGAGTCAATGTCGCGTTATTTTTATATAGAGATGGTAAAGGCAGTAGCGCTGAGGCTTCTGAACACAGTCATATATATGGATCATTGATTGCCTGCTTTTGTGGCGGTCACAAGGTGGACGACGTCGAAGTACCGCCCGCTCATTTCACCACGCAGGGGGTTTCACCATGCCGGGATGTCGATTAGTGTGTCGTCTACCTATTTGTCTAACCCGAATGTCTAAACTCCGAAGATTTAAAGTGATATAGCGCCTCAAACTCCCCAATATCGTCAGGATGGACGTTTTCTGGAGGCTCCCAGGTACTTTCATTGTCTGGATAACCAAACCACTTCACTAAATGTTGAACCCGTCTTCTCACCTGACGTTTGCCCAGCAATTTCTCGATCTTCCACTGATTATCTTCTGGTTCTATGGCAGCGGGTCGACTGCGACTCAAATCGGCATTGCTATACCATAGTTGGTAGTATTCAATACGCACTGCGGGGTCGGGTAAGTATTGGAAACCTCTCACCGGACTTATCGTGAGGGTTTGTGAGATCAACCACCTCGATCTGGTCGAAGTCTGCCGCTGGACGCCCTCGACGGATGATCTCTGGGTCGATCGGGATCGTGGCGGCGGCAGCTTCTGACGGGGTGGCCCAGGGAGAGGGACAGTGCTTTCGAGCTTCAGGCACTGCTTCGAACAGGCCACTTGACAGGGATGACAACGAACTGTCGATGCTGATGCAGTCATCACCCGCATCCCAAACGCTATCCGCTTGTGTTGTACACCGTGAAGTGAAACTGCCGATCACCGACAGCGTTTGGATCCCGTCCGGGGGGTTGGGATCAAAGTTGAGGGCCGAGATGTTAACAAATTTGCGGTCGTCTGTGTCTTCAGAGGGGTGCCGCTTAGTCCCTGATTTGCAACTAGGTCTTGGTCTTGAGGCTCGGCCTTCCAACTGGGCCAAGGGGCGAGACCGCTTTCGCCGGGCAGTATCGGGAGGCTCAAGCTCATAATTCACGCTCTGGTCCGGCGAACGTTGACGCTTTTGTGTGCGTTGCGGCTTAGGAGTACCGTGGAAGTCTTCCAGATGATGCCAAAGGCCGGACTCCGAAAAGAGCACCGTAGAGCATAACAGATGTGGGCATGGAAAGTAATCCTTGGAGTTCAGACTCGCGACATATTCTGGGATACATCCAGATATATGTCGCTGCCAGATCCCTCGATCTGGGTACTGTTGCATCCTCACAGCCGCCGGACGCCCGACTTTGCGGAGACAGCCGCAACAATACCCGGTGCAGGCAACCGCGTGGCGGAAAGTGACCGGGTCGCATCGCAAGGGAACGTCGAGATTGTCGATGTGAGTTTGACAGTGGATTTCCCAATCGTTCTCGTTAGTTATCCAACGGCTGCATCGGAAACAAAACTCGGCGAAACCGAACTGTTTGGTGTGATGGCCTTTGGAGCACCAGTATATGTGCTTCCACCTATCTTTGACGGCAACACTAAATTTGATCTGTCAGCAGCCTGGAACAATGCCGATGGTTTGCAGGAATGTCTCTTACTTACTCTTTGATACTCCGGTTGCAGGAAGAAACTGGACAGGAATCTCCTGTGGGCCGCAACACTTCCTGATAAGCAACGCGAGAATCGTTCGCTCGGAGAGCAACAAGGTCTCGGAGGGTAGAGATCCCTTCGGGGCTTCGCAGAGGGACAGCGAGAGGTAGAGTCCGGGCCAGGCGGTCACGTTCAGGAACCATGTGGCGGACGACACGATTGAAATAACTGCGACGCCAGTCCCCGTGGTCATCTGCCTCACTTTGAGTGGTCTGGACTCGCCGTTCAACTTTGCGGCAGTTCTCCAACTCTTCGTCCACCAGCAGCTGTCGCCGATCATAAGCCTGGCGCCTCTTGGCCTTCAGTGCTTTCCGCTCCTCTTCGGTGATGTCAGCGGTGAGTTGAAGAGAGAGGTCCTCAATTTGTTCGCAAAGGGCGACAAATTGCGGGCGGTGCTTTAGTTCATCCAAACTTTTGCTGGGGATTGACTGCGGGAGATCGGGATTTCTCTTCATTGACGCACTGCGAAAGTCCTCTGTAAGGTCCCGCCGTGGTTGCAGCCCCAGGAAGACGGCGGCACCGTCCACGTTACTTGTGTTGTCCAGATAGTGGCCGACAAGAGTTCTTGGGTTCCTGTGCGCGGCGAACTTCATTACCTGTCCAAGCGAGTAGCCGCCATCTGCGAACGGGTTAGCTTCAGTGAATTAACTCGGTGCAAGATCGCCTTACCGTCTACTTTGATCAGTGCTTCGCGGCGAGGGGCATGTAATCCTATTCCTCCTGGAAAGTCTGCCCTTTTTGCCCAATCGGAACACTGGTGGCCCCACGCGGACTCGTTTTTCTCTTTTTTGGTTGGTCCATTTACGGACATCTCTGGAAAGACTGGATCGTCCAAGACGGCGTCTGCCCACTCCATAATCCCAAACCTTCTTCTGGGTGGCGGTCTGGCATTGAGGACCGCCTCGATAGTGTCGTAGTCCTTAAATGCGCGAGCCGAAATAAAGATAGCCAGTAAAAACAAAAGCCCGTTGACGAGCAGAGGAGGTGTAGGATTTAGTCTCTCGTATATGGGATGCTTTGGTCTGCATTTCAACAGAAGTGTAAGCAATGAGGATCTAAGCCTCGGAGCGGCCGACATTCGTCACTTACTTGTTGGGATTGTCTTGCATGCCTTTTGTGCGCTCTCTTTTGAACCGTAGCTTGATCTCTGGCTCTCCGTCTTTCCACGCGACCATACAAAGAAGGTCCTATTAGACATTGTTAGCACCGTCCACATTTCATCTCGTCTGGCTCAGAATTAGACCTTGTACTTTGCCTTGCAGATTTCTTGTAATCTTGCAGAGGTGTAGCAGTGCATCTTCAATAGGGCACTAGAGTCTACTCGGCTCGCTTCGTGGATGTAATTGTGATGATCGTTCAGCCAGTGGAACTCTTCCATAGCGACATAGTTCTCTATCGTCAGATACGTAGGTTCTTTCTCCTCGATAGACAGCGGAATTTTGTGTCTCAGTACATTTTTGATGTACTTTCTCTCGTCAGCAAATGAAACTACAAGTGGGCGCTCTCGCTCAGGAAGCGTTTCAACACACTTACAGGAGCCATCGAGTCATGAACGTCTTTAGGGATGGTAAGGTGAGTCTCCCTCTGCCATTGTGACATGAATTTTCGAATCTTATTCCGTATCGTCTTGACCGTTGCCCGTTTCTTGTTCTTGTCCTTGTCCAGGCTCTTTTCCTTGTCCAGCCTGCCAGGCGTCGCGCGTCCGACCACTTCGGTAAAGTGTTTCATGACTTCCATGCTGCGAGGATCGGACCCCGGGTATTTCCTTTCGTACCTAGTCCTTATCAGTTTTTATCTCACAGACTCGAGTAGGGCTTCCTAGGTGGCCTACGCTTTCCAAACCTCCATCATCGCCTCGTACTGCGGCTTACTGCTCTTAGCAAGTTCTGCATAAACAGGCTTCCCATCGATCCCCGACCTGTCCCTAGAGAGCCCATCCTCCAATGCCGCCTCTATCTGCTCATCTGGGTTCAGGCCCTTCCAACTTCTTTTCTCGTTCTTGATGCTCATAGTTGATAGCTCCCGAGTGTTCCAAGGACCTATACCTGTGCCGAGAAGGGAAAGCAGAAATCGTACCAGGAGCCGGGTCAGAGGACGTGAAAAGAGTTCACACGACAAAAAGGAGGGGGAAGACACGGCGAGGAGGGGAGAATAGACGACAGAGGAGACAGAAACTCAACGAGACATTGGAAGGGTTAGGGGGACTATGTCTGGGAACCCTCCCTCGCGCCAGGGACACAAGCGCACGTCGTGCCAGGCCCATCACGCTCATGAAGACCGACTCGTTCTGGCAGGGTCGAGGAGGCAACGTGCCGTGGTGCGTCTCCAGGGAACCCTCCCCCTGGGGACCTCGTTTTGGGGCCCTCGTTAAAACTTGACGGTCTGGAGGAGGGACGACCTTTGGGCCACCGCCCGACGTGGTCGGCAAGGTGAGCTGGCCCAGCCGAGCCTGAGCCGACGTTGAGCCGGACGCGAGCCAGCCTGAGCAAAAGCGGCGCGAGGTCACGTGGGCTGGAAGGGAGGCGAGCGTCGAGATTCCGGTCGTATAACAAGATTGATTGGATTTATTATTTATCTACGCCATTCCGAGTACTGGGTACCACGTACCAGTCCTTCAGCCTCGGTTCCCAACACAACTCGACAGCTCAGTTTGTCACTCGGCTACTCAGTGCGGGAGGGACTAACTTGACGTGCCCTGCGTGCTTGACCCTTTCCCTCCGGCCCCCGCATTGGAGATCTTGACTAGTTAGTTGCACCTCTCGTAATGTCGGGGTTCGTAGGGAATATTGCTTGATCAAACGACAGCCGAAGTTATGTGCCGATGAACGAGAATTGCGGGTTGTTGATTGATATATCCAAGGTTGCTCCCTCAATTAACAGTAATCGACGAGTCACAATTCAATGACATTGTTTCGCGATTCACTGGTCACGATCAAATGGTCACTGGATTTTATATGTCCGTGCTGATGACGAGTGAGCTGATATCCGATGGAATATAAGTTCGGTACGGAGCCGGAATCCTTGACTCAAACAACCTTGAGGTCTCTTCTTCCAGAACCAAGGCGTCGGAAGCAACATCAAAGTACCTATTGAACACGCCTGAGGGAAAGGCTCGTCGAGATTTGACTCTGCCCCCTTTCTCTCTCCCTCTGGACTAATGGCACCGGGACACGATCTAGACAAGCTCCCGGGCAGTTTGCCATCGCAATTGGTCCCCGGAGACGTCAACGTCGACACAGTCCAGCAGGTAGCGCAACAAGCCCTCCAAAATCTCGACGCCACGGCCCTGCTCGGCCCCGCGCCGCTGTGGAGAGACTGGCTCGCGCTGACGGGGCAGGTCCGCACGTTCTCCGGCTCAGAGAGGATCGCCGAGGTGTGGAACACTCAGGTCAAGGCTCACCGTGTCGCCGATATCAAGACAGAGGCTGGACGGATCACTAATCCCGTCCCGACGAGCTCTTGGGTCGATATTCCATTCACTTTCGTCGTGAAGCTCGAGGATGAGGGTGGAGGTGGGCGACTTGTCGGGAACTGTACAGGGACGGCGTCGTTGGTCCCGGATGAGGATGGGAAGTGGAAGATCTGGATGTTGGTGACGATTCTGGATAACTTTGAGGGGCACGGGCACCCTGATGTTCCGCGGGTGGTGGTCGACACTGAGACTACCAATGATGCCGTCAACGGTGTTGTTGTTGGTGAAAACGAGAAGAGCCAGACTGGCGGCCAAACTCATTTCAACGTCGTGGTCATCGGCGCAGGTCAATGCGGTCTATCCATCGCGGGCAGACTCGGTGCCCTCGGAATCGACTACGTCCTTCTCGAGAAGCGGCCTTCCGTGGGCAAGAACTGGACGCAACGCTACGAGTCGGTCAGACAGCACACGATCCGCGAGTACAACAATCTGCCCTTTGAGCGCACGTGGAAGCCCACCGACCCGTTGCTCCTACCTGGCAAGATCGTGGCCGAGGGATTTGAGAACTACATCAAACGCTACGGAATCAATCTGTGGACCAGCGCCGACACGAACAAGGCAGTCTGGAACGCCGAGACGCAGACGTGGGCGCTGGACGTGACGGTCAACGGCGACGAAAGGCGGGAGCTGGTCTGTCGACACCTCGTTGTCGCCACCGGCGCGGGCGTCAGCGTCGACAACGACCCAAAGTTCCCCGGCACCGAGGAGTATCAGGGCATTCTCGTGCACTCGGGCGCGTACAAGCACAGTCGAGACTGGGTGGCCAAGGACGCCATCATTATCGGGTCCGGCACGACGGCGCACGACATCGCCGAGGACATGTACCGGGCGGGTTTGCGCTCTGTGACGATGATCCAGCGCAGACCGACGGCTATATACCCGATTGAATGGATCGTGAAGGGGCAACAGGGTAAGTTGGTCCACACACACACAAGTCCCTCTCATCTCGACCGTCCCCTTAAAACAATACCGGATGAATAGAACCTGACTTCCTTTAGCTCTCTACAACAATACCATCCCCACCGCCACCGCCGATGCCCTCGTCGCCTCCCGCCCGAACAAGATCCTCCGCGACATTCTCAAGACGATCCACGAGGCCGCGGCGCGCCGGGACCAAGCGCGCTTCGACGACCTCGAGCGCTCCGGCTTCCGTGTCGACCGCCACACGCCGCTGATGGACAACATCCTCCACCGCTACGGCGGGTACTACATCGACATTGGGGCCTCGTCGCACATTGCCCGCGGGGACGTCCGGGTGAAATCCGGCGTGCCCGTCACGACATTCACTCCCCAGGGCGTGAGGTTTCAGGACGGGACCGAGATGCGCGCCGACGTGGTCGTGGTCGCGACGGGGCAGGACCACGATTACCGCAACCAGGTGGCCCAGATTGTCGGGGAGGGTGTGGCGTCGAAGCTGGATGAGTTTTGGGGACTCGACGAGGAGGGCGAGGTGAGGAATGTCATGAAGCCGGCAGGTGAGTTCCCCGGTCTCTGGTCCCAGTGACCCGTCTTTGTATTCGAGGCACCAGATCGAACCCCGTGACTGACCTACAGAAAAGCTCCCGGGCTGTGGATGTTTGGAGGCACCGCCGCCCAGGCGCGCTGGTGGTCCCGCTTCGTCGCTCTGTCCATCCAGTCCGACCTGCTAGGACAGCCTCTCGAGGGCGTGAAGATGGGATGACGATGGCGTGTCTGCGTCGTACATGAGTATCCGAAGTTATAAGATAACAAAATTTAGCAGCGACACAGGCAGGGACGTTGTCACGGTAACTACGTAGACTGTACTCGTGCTCGGTGCTTGTGTGTACTGGCACCTGGGTGACTGGGTGCGTACCTTGACACAATAGTAGGTAGGTATGTCTATCAAGGATATACTAATACCGGTATACCGAGTACTTGTACCTATACCCACATTGGGCGAATATAAGTGGAGCTCAGGCAAGGCTTCTGGTTGTGGGGAAAAAGCGAGATCCCCCTCTTTGACTCGAAAACCACTGCCTGGACCGCATATACATATATATAGAGCAGGACTGCGGAAATCTTCTGCAGCAAAGTGATTGATTACCTGCATCATTCATTGGAAATCAACACCTTCCTTCCGTGGGATACTTGTAGAGGGATCGCCATTGATGCGCGCCGCCTACAGCCAAGTGCGTTGTCACGTTGCTCTACGCGAATGGGTCTCAAGTGCCCACGGTACAATTCGTTTCGACATCTACGACCATCACTCCGTCATCTAAACCTAAAGCACCCGTGGGTTGCGCCAAGGTTCGAGCTCGTAAATGTTCCTTTTGCTGAAATTTGGCCTCATGGAAAGAGGCATAGGGTTGGTTATGGCACTGGCCGAAAAAAGTGTCATAGGCCCGACCCAAGACTGACTTGGGAGGAAGTTGCTTGCGGGTCCTGTAATATAAGTGATAGAACAAGGGACACGCGAGACAAGAGACCTTACGACTGTGCTGGCGCGCGTTGGCTACCACGACTTGTAGGAGAGTGAGCCTTCTCGCTACAGACGCTCGAATTGGGTATATCGCGGGAGCTGGCTGAGGTCTGAGCAGTGTGCCATGCCAACGTGCTCACGAGCAGCAGTATGCAGCTGGACCAGGAGAGTCCACTGTTGGTCGCTTCTTGGATAAATGGACAGTAGGCACTTACGAGTTCAAATCGGTGAGCTGGGCCACTTTCGACTCCAGAGAACTTGGCCGAGCTAAAACATCCTCCTAGTGGCGACCAGCGCATCACGAAAGCTCTACCGTAAATAGGGAGGGAGGACTCGACTGACATCTCTAAAGCACGATCGGGATTTGCGGTGCACGGCATCTTCATAGTCCCCCCAAGTGTTGTCGCCAAGGTACCCGCACTCTTGATTTCAGCCTGTCGCAGAAGGAGCAGGTAGGTCTTTTAACGGACTTTTTGCCGCCTGCGATTTCTGTTTCAGCACCGACAATATGGTTCAGAGGGGTGACACTTCACCCTACTCGACCCACTTCGTTTTGCGGACTCGGCGATGCTAAAGAAAAAGACCACCTTTTCCCCAGGTTACAGTGAGTCCGTGACCAATGACAACCCTGTGGTCGGCATCTCCCATCTAACTGTTTCTTGCCATGTAAAAGCGTCCACCTGCCTGAGTGACTCTCTTGGGTTCTTTGCGATGGAGAAATCTACCACAGGTTCTTCTATATTCTGAGGGGCAACCATCACCTTGCCTGCGTATAACGACCTTGACCGTTAGCCCGCCTCGACAAGGAATCCTTCAGTAGTTTATCACTATCTCCTTATACCACTCGATCCTCAGGCACTAGCACGATTCGGCCCTTCACTTTCCCACAATCCAAGTCATATAGGGCCTGGGGAAGATCGAAGAGACTCCTCAGTTCAACTTGAGGCGATATGACCCCTGCGCTGACCAACTCAAGACCCTTTGCCGCATCAGCATATGTGCCTCCAAGGCTACATAGAACATTGAGCCCCTTCCGTATACCTCGCCGGTGGTAGAACGTCACCGAGTCTTCGAACATACCAACCAGGACAATTGTCCCCCCTGGTCGTACTGTCATCGTAAGTCCTCAGCGAGTAGCACTTCGAAATTCTTCGCTGCGAACTTACCGGCTTCACAAGAGGCCTTGAATGTCCCCGAGGATCCAACAAAGTCAATCGCCTTGTCTGGCACCAATCCCTTCTTCTGAATCCACTCTGCGACGTTCTGTGTCTCTGGAGGGACAACGTCCTCTTCCTTGACACCAAACTTTACCGCTTGATCGAGCACAGTCTGCTTTTGGTCGACCACAATCACCCTTGAGCCAATGTGCAACAGAATTTGCAGTGCACTGAATCCTAAGCCACCTAGACCATACAATAGAACAGTTTCCTCGTTCTGTGCCGCTGCCCTTTGCACGACGGCATGATAGGCCGTCATGATAGAATCCATTGCGACTGCACCCTCGGCAAAGGATACATTGAGAGGCATTTTGATGGCCGAAGCGGCTTTGATAGCAATGTACGGCGCAAAAGATCCGTCTTCTCCCACTCCATGATGATCTCCTCGCTCGCAAAACTGGGTTTGACCGATCGAACATGGTCGGCAGGTCGACTGCATACAGCCTGCACCAGGGTGAATTGCGACCATGTCTCCAACCCTGAAATTTTTGACATTTGGACCCACTCTTACAACCTCGCCGGCACCTTCATGGCCCTATATGAAAGCGTACTGTCAGATGACGCTTCATTGTAGATATTCCAGATTAACCTACCAGGGTATATTTGTCGCGAAACCAGGAACCCGTTTTAACTTCGAACTTGATAAGATTAATATCGCTGTGGCAAACTGACAAAAAAAAAATGCCTTCATTAGCTCATGCGCGATGAAGAACGGCGTGGTAATTTTGCCATGAAACAGCGTTCGGACCGAGTCTAACAGCGGCTCAGGATACATACCACCAGCAGCACGGATCTTTACAAGAAGGCCGTCTTCGGAAATAGAAGGAACCGGGATCTCGACACGAACCTGCAACAAAGATGAATTATAAAATTCATTGAATCACTCGGTTTCGTGTCGTCTATACTTACTGGTCCATGCGTCCCGAAGTGCTTCTGCCATGCAAGCATAGTTTTCGGGATATCAGCCGCGGTCATGTTTATTCAGTCCTTCTTTCAGGCTGCAAACTTCGGTGAGATTTCTCGACGATATACTCTTCGGAGAAGTCTTCTGAAGAAATGAAAGACTGAGGTCTACACTCAAAAATGGCCGGTGTTTTTGGACGCCCTATTCCGCAGTCTAAAGGTTCCGTAGGCCTTCACATTCCCAACATATCATTACAGGCCCGGCACCCAGGGGCCAATGAAATGACACCCCCGAGGTGGCACTACATGACCTATCACATGTTTCTCGGGCTCGCCGCGGAGAGAATTCGCAGGTCGGGTCTTCCCCGTGTGGTGCCTCCTTCGACGCCACAAACTATCCCGGAACCATCAGTGACACGGGGCATTGTTCCGGGCCTCGAATCAAACTCCGGCGTAGCCACTTACGATAATAAATTCTCGGTATAGTTGATAGCTTCTTATGGAAATACGACGCTGTCAGCGACCATGGGCTCCCTCGGGTGCTTTGCCACGGCTATCAAAGAGAGCAACGTCATTTACATCGGTGAAAGGACCAGGTTTGAGGAAGCCTGAGTGAATTGACTAGTTACGGAAGGAAGTATTCTCCTCTACTCCCTACGCCGCCTCAACAGTGGTCACGCACTCATTCAACAAAATTGACAGCACAGCTCAACAACTTTGGTGCATCACCAAAGATGTCCTTTACCTACAAGTCAATTATCCTTGCCGCACGTCCGAAGGACCATATTGTCCCTGGTGAGACCTTCTCAGTGGTGGAAAACGTGGCGCCCTCAATAAAGGACCTCAAAGATGGGCAGGTTCTCTTTCAACCTCACTATCTCAGTATTGATCCAGCAATGCGTACCTGGCTCAAAGACGCTCGATCTTATATTGAACCTGTCAAGGTCGGCGAGGTCATGCGCGGCCTGGCAATTGGAGTGGTCAAAGCAAGTAGAGACGCCAGATTTCCTGTCGGTACTTACGCCTCAGGCATGACAGGTTGGACCGAGTTGAAGGTCTGCAGCGTTGATGACCTAGAGAGATACGAGATGCCGCCAGCAACAAAGTTGACCGACGGACTGGGTGTTCTAGGTATCCGCTCAATTTCACCCTCCATTCTGTCTCGTTTCTTGGTAGGGACTCACCATTCTTTATAGGCGTCACCGGCTTAACAGCGTACTTTGGTCTTATCAAAATTGGAAATGTGAAGCCAGGGGATTTTGTTGTCGTTTCCGGTGCTGCAGGAGCTACAGGTAGTGTGGTTGGCCAGATTGCCAAGCTGAAGGGTGCTACCGTCCTTGGAATCGCAGGTAGTGATGAGAAATGCCGGTGGTTGAAAGACGACCTAGGATATGACGAGGCTCTGAACTACAAGGATATCAATTTTCACTCCAAATTCAGACTGGCAACGCGTGTAATACGGCTCCTCGTCGCGGTTAGCTGGAATAGAGTACTGACTGATATGCAGAATCTCATAGATATATACTTCGACAATGGTGAGTAAATTTTCCAGTTGGAGATCGCTGTTAATGAACGTGGTAGTTGCGGGCGAAGTACTTGATATGGCCCTCGCAAGGGCAAAGCCTCATGCCCGGTTTGTCATGTGTGGTGGTAAGAAGTGCCCAATTTTTGCTGCGTTAAGGTGCCTTCTAACTTTCCGACAAGGTATCAGCCAACACAACTCTTCGAATATACGAGGACTCAAGGTAGTGGCGGTCGTCGACCTATTACTTTGCGAAGCTAAGGCGTTCACAGAACTATCTGGTGATTGTCTCTATGCGCATCCGGTATTGCGATCCCCTTAACCGACTTGTCAACACCTAATTGGTTTTCTTAGCATGGAAGGGTTCATCGTGGTAGACTTCAAAGATGAATATCCGGAAGCTATCAAGGACCTCACTCAATGGCTACGCAAAGGCAATATCAAGCGCAAGGAAACAATTATCAAGGGTGGCTTGGAACGGGCGGAGAAGGCATTGATTGGAATGTATAAAGGAGAGAACACTGGTGAGCATCTTTGACGATCACCGCTAAGCACTGCTAAACAAACGCAAGGTAAATTGCTGGTAGAGATGGTTGCAGCGAAGGATGGGGCGAGGGCCCATTTGTGAATACTTTAGATGGAGGTAGACCACCACATGCTTGTGCTATTGTGAGTTCCCCGGCTTCTACCAGCCTGCTTCGAACCTGTGCCAACGGCTAATTTCAGGAGATTTCTCAAAGAAAGTCTCTCGTCTGATTGAAAGTCGACGGATTCTTGATATGGCATAGTGCTGCGTGGTCGAAAACGGATTAATCTGTCAATCACAACGTGAATAGAGCCATTTGCCGAAGGAAATGAGGCGCAAATATCATTAAAAGCTCCTGCGGGAGAAAGAATACTTTGTCAAAAAGTGGGGACGGTGGACACCGTGACGTCCCGGAAGATCGACCCTTCCAAGGGGCCGGTCTCTGTATACCATTGCGACATTCGCCCCGGATTATCTGATCAAATAAGAAGAAGGGACACAGGCGACCCCCCCATGGACATATGTACATAAGAGAGGTCACGTCAATGACAGCCATTCCCATTTGCTACTTCCCTATTCCGAATCTATCTCACTCGGGACTGTGAACCTCGAGATGCCTATCTTTCGGTCATCTCAGCCACCCATCCAAGGTCCGTAGCTGCCTCCGTTAACCCCTCGACTCTATCGCTTCCTATAAGCTGACTGGGAAATCCTTCAGTCCCCTGGCATCTACCAGTCTGGACTTGGCTGTTCGATTCTGACTATAGCGCCCTGAAAGGCCACGATCCTGATGGCACCCAAGGATTTACTAATGTCGCGACAAAAGAAGTACGTTTGGGGATCAGATCTCTTGACCAATCCTGAGTGTTGACTGTTCTCTAGCACATCAATTTTGCTGATCTCAAAGATTATTCCACCTACATTTCCACCGCTCTAGTCAAAGTGTACGGCCTCCAAGAAGGACAGAATGTCGCTCTCTTCAGCCCAAATAGCGTCTGGTATCCTGTTGCTATGTTCTCCGTGCTGCGAGTGGGAGCTGTCGTCTCTGGCGCATCGCCAGCATACAACATTGAAGAGATGATTTACGCTCTCAAGACTGCGGACGCAAAGTATCTATTCACTGTTCCAGAGAGTATCCCAATCGCTGAAGCTGCGGCTGCCGAGGTTGGGATCCCACAACGACATATATTCCTACTCGAAGGCAAAGTCGAGGGCCACGCCACCGTGGGAGAGTTGCTGGAGATCGGAAAGTCTTACAAGCCTACCGGACAAGTCGAGCAGTTTCGGCTACCTTTGGGAAAGAAGAACAACGATGTTTGCGGGTATCTCTCTTTCAGCAGCGGCACAACTGGCCTACCAAAAGCTGTTATGATCGCACACTCAAACATGATCGCACAGTGTCTCCAACTTCAACAAATCTCTTTCAATAGAGCCATCGTCGCCGCACTGCCACTATTTCATATTACTGGCCTTGTCTACCAAATGCATTTACCGGTGCTTCTGAATGCAAGAGTCTACATGCTTCCAAAATTCACAATGGATCTATTACTTCAAACTGTACAAGACTATCGCCTATCGGAGATTATGCTGGTTCCACCTATCTTGATTCGCTTAGTCCGCGATGAAAGTCTCCGAAAGAAGTACGACCTGAGTTCGATAGAGACCATCGCCTGCGGTGCGGCTCCCTTGTCAGCAGAAATTATCGAAATGGTTCGACAAAGATTTCCCGGAGTAGGCATCAAGCAGGGATATGGAATGACAGAGTCTTGCGCATGTGTCACAGCCCATCCACCAAATAAAGGTGACCTAAAATATGCCCCTTATGTTGGAACCATCGTTGCATCGACGGAACTCAAAATTATTGACCCGGACACCGGTAAAGAGTGTGGTTTCGATCAGCCAGGCGAGATCTGGGCGCGTGGTCCGCAAGTGGTAATGGGGTACCTCAATAATCCGAAGGCGACGAAAGAGACCTTTGACGCAGATGGGTTCCTTCATACCGGTGATATCGGATCGATAAACAGTGAAGGGTTATTGTCGATCAGCGACAGATTGAAGGAGATGATCAAGGTGAAAGGAATTGGCGTGGCACCTGCCGAACTGGAGGATCTCATACACAGTCATCCAGACGTTGCAGACGTTGCAGTTGTTGGGATCCCAGATGACTATTCTGGCGAACGTCCAAAGGCTTATGTCGTGCTGAAACCCTCAAAGCGAGAGGCGCCAATCTTAGCAAGGGAGCTTATTACGTTCATCCAGGAGAGAAAGGTAAGACACAAGTGGCTTGCAGAGGTCGAGGTCATCGAGGAAATCCCGAGAAGTCCAGCAGGAAAAATTCTCCGCCGAGCACTCAGAGAAGGGAGGAATGCAACGACGAGGAGGGTTGTGGTTGTGCAAGCGAAAGGGGAAGCAAGGTTGTAGAGGAGTTTTGCAATCTACAATGGTCATGGCATTTTGACACGTCTATTTATGCCGGTTTTCGTCCTCTTTTCTCTCTATTCTCGTGCAACCACAGACTCTGTGCTTGAACTTCTGCTGCTCAGATGTGAGATTTGACTACCTTTGAACCATCAAGCTAAACTCAAATCAAAAGGGGCTTACCTTCTTCAAGGTTTAACGCGGATTATTCCCCGTCTCCGACCGTGAGCGGAGAACCGGAAGAAAGCTTATTAGCGGCTGTCTAAAGCGGACTGGTGCAGCCTGAATGGGCGTCTGGCCAAGCAGCTCAAAAGTTTGCGAGAAGCATGTCAACGCACATCGATAAATGAAGTGAAGCGTTTACATATTGAACAAGATAGGTCCGTAGATAAGAAGCTAGAGCTTGACCTCGACTCATTCTTTCGACCATCCATTACTATATCTGGACGCCTGGCAGTTTACTCCTGATGCATGCAATTTCTCAAGTGCTTAGGCTGTACAATTGCTCATTATCCGCCTGCTTTCGCAAGCAGAATATCCGAGGACGACGAACATCTGCCATTCTTGGATCAGACAACTGTAACCGCATGTACACGTCGAGACAGACGGGCTCGACGGGTAGGACGCATGATGTACGCGGCATGATTTCCGTCCGAGGTTACGACTCGTCGAAGACTTGAAGTATGGCGTGTTGCGGCCGAGCCGATCATGGCATGCACGGAATTGCCTCGGTGTCTTGGTATTGACATTTTGGGAATGCATTCAAAGAAGGTATATCTTGTACAAATCTATCGAGACATTGTTGGCTTAGCAATTTGGGTCGACTGCTTCTTCCACTCACCAACAATGGCCGCGTCTTCCGCCACTGAGGTCGTCGTTGCACCCGCAACGAGTCAGTCAACGACGGACGAAAAAGTCAAACTTCCTTTCGATCCGGAGGCATTGAAAGACAAGTACGTCCAGGAGCGAGAAAAGAGACTTCATAATGGTGGCATCGACCAGTATCGACCGATAGAAGGCACACTCCACAATTGGATCGAAGACCCATATGTCGAACCAGGTTTCAAACGTGAGCCCGTCGAGAAAAATGTCGAGGTTTTGATCGTGGGAGGTGGCTACGGCGGCCAGCTCTGCGCAGTTCGCCTGCAAGAGCAGGGAATCAAGGACTACCTGATGATTGAGAAAGGTGGTGATTATGGCGGCACCTGGTAGGTCACTCATGTGATATCAAAGTATGACAGTTATTGATCGTTACAAGGTACTGGAACAGATACCCCGGAGCACAGTGTGATATTGATTCCTACGTTTACATGCCACTTTTGGAGGAAGTAGGCTATATTCCGGTTGAGAAATACTCCCATGCTACGGAACTCCTTGCTCATGCTCAAGCTATCGGAAAGCATTTTGATCTCTATCGAAACACTCTGTTCCAGACAGAAGTCCTCGATCTTAAGTGGGATGACTCAACAGCTTTATGGAACATCCAGACATCCCATAACGACAAGATAACGGCTCGATTTGTGATTCCCGCTTCCGGGCCCCTCCACAGACCAAAGCTTCCCGGAATTTCTGGTATCGAATCCTTTACAGGCCACTCATTCCACTCGAGTCGATGGGATTATGACTATACTGGTGGTAACACCCTTGGTGGACTAACTAAACTCAAAGATAAGCGGGTCGGAATCTTGGGAACTGGTGCCACTGCGGTTCAGATTGTTCCGCATCTCGCCGACTGGGCTAAAGAAGTGTTTGTCTTTCAACGAACTCCGTCCTCTATCGGAATACGAGGCAACAAACCAACGGATCCAGAATGGGTTAAGACCCTAAAGAGCGGATGGCAGCAAGCACGCATGGATAACTTCAACGCGATCCTTAGTGGAAGCCACGTCGATACAGATCTTGTTGCCGATGGGTGGACAGCTGGTATGAGAAAGCTTCGTCCCGGACCAGATCAACTTAAGGGTGGCGACCCCGCAGAACTGGCGAAGCAGATTCAGCTTGCCGATTTCGAGCAAATGAACTCCATCCGCGCTAGAGTTAGCGAGATTGTGAAAGACCAGGCTACCGCTGACGCTCTCAAACCATGGTACAACCAGTTCTGCAAGCGACCGACGTTTCATGATCGGTATCTACAGTCGTTTAATCAGCCAAACGTTACCCTTGTCGACACTCAAGGCCGAGGTGTCGACAGGGTTACTCCTAAGGGTATAGTAGCGAACGACAAGGAATACGAGCTAGACTGTATCATCTATGCTACCGGCTTTGAGCTTGCTACCGACTGGTCCCATCGTTCTGGCATGGAAATCACTGGGCGAAATGGTCTCACTATTACTGAAAAATGGCATGACGGGATGAAGTCACTTCATGGCTGGACCACGAATGGATTCCCCAACTGCTTCTTTGTTAGCGGCATCCAAGCAGCATTAACATCTAATTTCATGCATATCACCAACGAGCAGGCAAAGCACATCGCTTGGGTCATTCGACAAATGAAGGAGAGGGGTCTACGAACCGTCGAGGCTTCTATTGATGCGGAGGAGGCCTGGGTGCAGACGATCATCGAGAAGGGCAAGGAGCGCCTCGAGTTTTTGAAACAATGTACCCCTGGATACTATAACGATGAGGGTGCCATCACAATGAAGTTACGAAGGAACTCATGGTACGGAGGTGGAGCAGTTGCATTCCTGGAGATTACAAAGAAGTGGAGAGACGACATGAAGTTGGAAGGCCTCCAAGTGACAGAGGTTGATTAGAGAGTCAGTGGAAAAGAGGCCTCGGAACAACGGTTATTTAGAACAATGATTGTCTAGAAAGAAATCTAAAGAGGATAGAACAATACAACACAAAGAGTTCCCGACTGATTCCTGGTGTTTCAAAAATCTCGAGGGGCTCGTTATGGGATCAATCAGGAGCGTTATATCGCAGAATTGGTGACTTTTCCTAAGGCTCCGAATCTATCGTCCTCCACAGACCTGTTACCACATCAAAGGCCCTGCGACAGCATTCCGCTTTGGAAAACAATGCTCATAAACGCGTACTGGTGCTTCTGTCAGTATTTTCAATCCAGATTACGTTTTGGGAGGAGTTCTTACTTGATGAGCACAGTTTTTGGCTCCGTATAAGCCCGCAAAGCATACTCACCAAATTCTCTTCCCAGACCTGAGGCCTTCTTGCCTCCGAAGGGGGCCTGGAGACTCATCTGGCTGACGCAGTTGACGCCCACTACCCCGGAGTCAAGTTTCGCAGACACCCGCAGGGCCCGGTTCAGGTCTTGTGTGAACACACCCGCCATAAGTCCATATTCCGTGTCATTTGCCATCCGAATGACTTCATCCTCTGTAGTGAACTCTTTGACAACTGCTACTGGCCCGAAGATCTCCTTCTTATAGATCTCAGCGTCGGGTTTTGGATTGATAAACACAGTCGGTTGCACGAAAGCCCCCCTCGAATCACCAACTCTTTTTCCACCCGTGACAAGTTGAGCCTCATTCTTACCTCTTTCAATCATCCCTACCACTCGCTCAGCAGCTGCAACATCCACAAGAGGACCCAACTGAACCTCAGGGTCCTGAGGGTCCCCAAGTTTGCCTTGAGCTTCAGTCATACGGCTCGTGTATTCTTTGACGAACTTGTCAAAGACGGAGCTCTGTACATATACACGAGTTGCAGAAACACAAACTTGCCCGGATCGGGCGAGAATGGCTTTAACGGTCCATGCCACGGCATTGTCGATGTCGGCGTCCTCGAACACTACCGCCGGACTTTTGCCTCCGAGTTCAAGAGTGACGCGCTTCAGATTGCTCTTCGCCGCTGCAATTTGCACCCTCTTGCCTGTCGGGATACTTCCGGTAAAGCTGATCTTGCGAATTCTCATGTGTTCTGCGAGGAGCGATCCAGTTTCCCCAGTTCCAGAAAGTATTTGGATCACTCCTGGAGGGAAACCAGCCTCCTCAAACAGAGGAGCCAGTGCGAAGGTCCCATATGGGGTCTTTTCAGAGGGCTTGACGATCATCACGTTTCCCGTGGCAAGAGCTGGAGCCACCTTGAAGAAAAACGCGGCGATCGGGGAATTGAAGGGGTTTATAGCAGCACAAACTCCTAACGGTTCGTGTCGTACCAATTTCAAAAACCCATCGTCGTCGGGGAAGTAGTCGCCCTTCATCTTGTCCGTCCAGCCCGCGTAGTATCGAAGATGGCCAATGATATAGGGTCTATCCCGTGTTGGTGCCAGAGAGATTGGGTTTCCAGACGCCAGCGAATCTAGTATCAGAATCTCGACGAGCCGCTCCTCGAGAATATCCGCGAGCTTGTTGAGACATGCTGCACGTTGCACCGCCGTGAACTTGCTCCAAGGACCATCGAAGAATGCCGTCTCGGCTGCCTGAACGGCCTTCTCTACATCTTCAGCCCCAGCTATCGCCATCTGATCGGACAACAGTGTTCCATCTTTCGGATTGTAGACAGTATAGGTGCTTTGAGAGACCGAGTCGACGAATTTTCCGTTGATGTAGTGCTTCCGATTGTATTTTGCCAGTGAAGAAGTGTCGTGTTCCCCCATCCTGAGGTCTGGTGTTTCGGTCAGAGTAAGGAACATGAAACGCAAAGACGTCCACTGGAACTTGCTCTCCAAGTTTCGCTGCTTGGATCAGTCCGTGTAAGATGGAACCGCTAGCCACAGTGGAATTTTAACTGTCCGCGGAGCAATGCAAGCCGAGGTCCAGCAACAAGTTCGGATCACAATATTGAGAGACTAGACCTTCACTCCATTACGATCGTAAAAAAAACTCTCGAGACCGATCTTATCCGGGCTACCTGGAATGCTTTCCTATGTCGGCGCCTGTTGCTTTCCATACCGATCCTGTATTTAGTAAGCGACTTGGGAGTGCAAGCCGACAAAGAGCGAAGCAAACACCTTCTGCAAACTAAGCTGCCCCATTCCTGTATCCAAACTTATGCGTTTGTTGAAGCCTTCAATCAAAATCTCACGAGGCACCATCACTCGAGTTGCAGCGATGAGCTCGACAACGCAAACTTGGGCCCAAGCGGTGGCCCCTGTTTTGAGATCGTCTGCTCCTCTCTCTCAACAACCCGCTCCAGAATCGCATCCTTCTCGGGAGTTCAGGTACGGCGTGTATCCCAGGGTCGGTGGGCCGAACGCCCGTCCGGTGCACCACATCCGCATTCCCGAATTTGAAAGTCTCGAGGCCGAGAGAGCATTTCGAAAACTACACCACGCCGCAGCTCTGAGGTGGCTTGGTTCTCAAGGATACAACAACGAGGGGGCCGGCGGCCACGTCACCGTCCGAGATCCCATTCTGGTTGACCACTTCTGGATCAACCCTCATGGGGTGTCGTTCAGCCACATGCGACCGGAGGACCTGGTACTTGTTGATAAACACGGAGAGGTCAAAGAGGGAGGCAACATGCATTCCATTAATCCAGCTGGCTTTGTCATCCACTCTGCCATCCACGAAGCCAGACCCGACGTCGTCGCAGCCGTTCATTGTCATTCGGTGGCGAGCAAAGCCTTCTCCGCTCTAGGATGCGAACTCGAGCCTCTAAATCAGGACGCCTGCCGATTCTACAACGACCACGGCATCTATTCGGGATTCGGAGGCATCGCATTCAACCCTGATGAGGGCAAACATATCGCTGCGGCACTCGGCGACAAGAAGGCAGTTATTCTACAGAACCATGGTCATCTAGCGGTCGCTAAGACCGTCGATGGAGCCGCGTTTTTGTTTGGAGCCATGGACCGCTGTATCCAGGCACAACTCTTGGCCGACGCCGCGGCAGCAGGGCGAGGGACCAAAACCATCAAGGTCGGCCACGAAGAGGCCGAGTTCACTCGGAAGACCTATAACGACGAAATGGTGTACATTATGTTTCAATCGGCCTTTGAGGATGTTATCCGCGCCTCAAATGGTGAGCTTCCATCGCATGTCCTGGGCGAAATCCGTCGCAAGTAGATGGAGACCACAGCATACAATCAAATTCTCGTTGCAATCCTCTAGACGCAAGCACAGAATGTGAACCAGTCCCTACTTGAAAAGTATAGTTTTCGTCTCGGTATACGCTTGAAAAACGCTGAAAGCTCCTTAGTATATGTCCAGTCGACAGCTAGGGTCGGAGCCCCCACCTCACTCTCCACTTCCTTTTGTTGCCCTAACCCTCTTGAGACTAACTCAATTCACACCGACCACACTAATATCAATAGTCGCGTATTCTTACGAAAGGAGCTTCAAGGGGGGCGTTGCTTGGTTGGCCTTCAAAGCATGAAAGCTTGTCTCGATCTTGAGCTACACCGCAATCCCAACAAACGCCATGCTACGGTCACCGGGTTAAATGTTTCCTCTGTCGCCATCCCCAGCTCTGGTGGGTTTGCGAACCGACCTCCTCGGTAGAAGCTCTTTTCAGGACTTTCGTCACGACTTATACCTATCACTTTCAGTTTTGTCGTCTGTGAGGCAGCGACCGCAGATTATCTACCCAGGACCACGATGGTCGTAATCATAAACAAAGTCTGTTCCACTGCCCTGGTCCGCGACTGTAGCGTCGCAATGTTGAGTTGACACTGCCTCTTGTGGTTCCGTTGACAGAGACGGGGCTCGATGATGTTTGCTGGGTCTCGAAGCTCTCGCACACAGTCTCTACGGCACTTCTCCTCAAGCCTTACCCTTTTTCCCTGGTACAACTTACAATGCATTCTATCTCGTCGTGTATGCAATTCGTACACGGCGTACCTGTCCGACCGACATCGCACCGTACTTTGCGCGATCTGCAGCAATTACATGCTTTGGATGCACGCTGTGTAGGCCGGGTTTTTTTCGTGGTGGACTTTCCTGTGTCGCTGGCAGCCGCTAGAGCCGGGTCCATTGTCGATCTAAATAGCCGGAAGACACCGAGCATCTTTGGTCAAGCAGATGGCCAGGAGTTGTTTTCTGGGGCCTGAGCTTTTGCCCTGTGAAGTTCTGAAGGATGAAGGTCGAATGGGACTCATGAGGTGCGGGCCAAGACTGAATCGTGGAGTTTGCGGATGGACTCTTTACGACTCGTTGCGTCTCCGAGCCGGCCACGGTTAGGCACAAGCCACTACGCCGTGGAGACGGGGAGGGTTCCAGTGACGATGATCTTCAATGCAGACGGAATTGATCAGGTTTTGACTAGTGACCAACTCAAACACGAAACAATTAAGCAAAATGGCGCAAGTGTCAGTGACCAACCATTTCGCTATCAGTGTTCCCGATGCTGGGAAAGCGGCCGAATTCTATTCCACTTTGGCATTCCCGTGTCTGATTTTGACGAAAATATAAAGCAAGGCGAGCTATTGGGCGCGAAGTTGGTTGAAGAGATATCGTGGAGCCACTCCCTGGCTACAGAGCTTGTTACTTGATGGATCCCTGGGACAACATCATCGAGCTCATGACCTGTGGGTTCGACCAGATCACCGGTCAGGTAATCATGCGAGGGATTGCCGCGCAAAAAGCATCATATGGACGAGTAGAATGGTATATGTCAAGGCCAAATTCAATGATGTATACAGATAGACACACACATACTCCATACATCCCCGTCACTGGGGCAGATCATCTCACTCAGACATGCTGGAGCGCGCCCCACTAAAGTTTTGCGCACCATCCGTGAATCGGTCGAGAAAATACATGTCTGTTTCGTGTTGGTCTTGGGTGCGCTCACTTCCATTTCCACCGTCGGGTGAGATATAGTTGTCGAAATCATCGGATCGATCCCATGGGTTCGAGTAAACAGCCTCCTCCACCGTGAGCATGGGATCGTTGTCCCAGTTAAGATCTCCCAAGGCCAAGAAGTCGTCAAAAAAGCCACTGTTCAAGTAACTGGTGCTAAAAGGCGCTTTCAAGTCATACTGAAATCGGTCAGCGCATGTGCATCCTCAAGAATAAGTTACAAACTTTTCGTTGTAGGCTATTATGGTTAAGGTTACATAGGTGGTTGCTGCAATCACCAGAGCGAGCGCTGATGCTTGAGCTCAACTCCAGCGTCAGGAGGGGCCGACTGGAGGGCTCAATCACCGACGTGGGCAGAAGGTCCGCAAGTTCTGCAAGATCAGGGTTCGTGAGAGAGAAGGTGGGAAGAAGCGTAAAGTTATTGACATCGTCAAAGAAGCTTTCAAGGGAAGGGTCGATGACAAGATCTGACATGTCTCTTTTCACCGAGATCATAAGAGGAAGAGGATCGGTGAAATTTTTCATCTTGAGATTCGCGGTCAAGGACCGCATCAGCTTTTCCACGTCGTAATGGCTCCCACTTTGCAACATCCGAGACCTTGTATCGGGCCTGGGCATGTCAGCGAGGGATATTATACTGCTCCAGAACCAATGAATGCTCACCATATCATGCCATCGAGGAACCAGGTGTGTTGCTGGATGAACTGATCCTTGACTGGCCGCTGCCATTTGAGACATCGCTTCCAGTTCTCGGTGGTTGGGAAACAGAGAAACTAATACATCCGTCAGCCTGCCATCGATTGGTCACGGTGAAGCCTTCCATACGACGTAATATCGATAGTAGGTCCAGAATATACACATGTGCTCCATAGGGGAGAGGAAAGAGTTCTTGAACAACAGGGTGGATTTGAAAGCGACAAAAGCAGCGATTCGACGTTCGAGTTCCCTCTGGTCGATGAACTCTTTGTCATCGTGCTTGCAAGCTGACGGGGAGGAAAATTCCTTGCCCCAGAGAATGGCGTCGTGAATATCGCCGAACAAACCTTTGGCTCGCGACCCTCTTTCCACCTCCTCAACGCTGAGTTGGATTGCATAATCGGAATAATCGATCAGCAATCTCAGGTTGTCGTTCCCATAACCGTGCTTGACCTTCCATGTCATCAATGATTCAAGAATGACATTGACCCACATCTCGTCTTCTGGAGACTGGAGAAGATATTTATTTTCCTGTCCCAGTTGCCAGAAGAGGGAGTGTCTCGCACGATACCACGGAGTGGCATCGCCATTTCCACGAGCGTCCGGCTCAACCCTACCTGGGTCTCTTTGCTGAGGCAAATTTGCTGTACTTCTATTGTGTTTCTCATCGTTGGCCACGAGTGCAAGTGGCCCTTTGGTACCTAGCGAGTACTCTACAGCTGATGCGTTGTTCGTGTCGTCCCCCTTTTCTTGCAACGAAGCAATCGCCTCTAACCGCACCTGCTGCCAAGAATTTTGCGTCTTGAGAGTCTGGATCTGAGCCAGCAACTGTTCGACGACATTGTCATGTTCCCCGTTGGCAACTATTCTGAAGTATGCCAGCTCTTTCTCGGTCTGTCGAAATTGTTTTCGATAATTTCTCTGGCTGAGCCTGTCCATCTTCCGCTTCCGTTCCAGCTGGTTTGGCGTGAGCTTGTCTTTCCATTGTTTGCTCTTTATCGTGGACATTATTGTGTCGAGAGATCTTCAAAGTAGAATCAATCAAAGAGTGAGTGTGAGGGTTTTGACGGTGAGCAGAGAGAGGGAAGCAAGTGAAAAACCCGGGGCCCCGGCCTTGTCGCAGCCCTCCTCAAGAAACCAGCTTTCCGTGGGGAAACACGGGTTCATCCCGACGGATGGACTGAATCGGGTGCTTGGCTGCTTTGAGAGGCTGGAAGAACACTTTTCTGTAATAACAATGAGACGCCTATCTACGCTACCCTAACCTTTGGACCGGTGTTTGTGCATCGGGCTCTGTAAGTCTCGTCCGAATGGCCCCTATGACTGGCACGGACGCGCACGGGGAAACTTGGTCTGTGGGGACGGTTCCCGTTCGCCACTTTGTCAGGCGAAGTGTCATGAAAGAGAGGAAACAATACCAGATTCTCGTCTATCTTGAGTTTCTATTCCTATTTGCAGTTTCCCTTCCCCGTCAGCTCCATTTTCTTGATGCCTGTCTCGGCGATGGCGTCCCAGAAATTAGAGCCGTAGTTCTCTTTCTGACAGACTTTCGGCCAGAGAATTCTTGCGCTGTCTCGTGGCAGTTCGCGTCGCTTACGGTTGCTAGCATAGGGCCCGTCGTCTTTATCTCGAGCATAGTACGCTGTGTCTGTCATGGGATCTACTTCCGCTTGACTGTACCCATTCCCCAACCACGCATATCTATTTCCTGCAGACGAACGGACTTAGCCGGCCTGGAACATACGATCCCGCACACGGTTCGGCACCGGATATCGCTGGCAAGAACGTAGTCAATCCGATGGCCCAGAATTCTTTCTGCAGCGTTGATGCTGCGTTCCATATCGATCTGGATCCAACGCCACTTATCTTCAGGAACCAGTCGATCAAAGGGTCTGCTGTGAGCAGCATAGGAGAAATTGATGAAGCACTTGATTTTGCAAAGCGAGGTATTGTCCCATGCGATGCTTGTCGAAGTCTCGCACTTGAATTTGAACAGGAAAACTGCGACTCGAAGCCACGGTGGTCGGACTGGCCCGAATGAACGAAAGCGTTCAGAAACTTCGAACAGGTCAAGTTGTAGGGTGAGTTTTGACAGTCCACTCTCAATGTAGTACAAGCTAACGAAGCAGGCGGATTGTGGTCGACTTCAATGATACAAAAGGCCTTTAGAAGTTTTCTGTCGGAAAATCGTGTCGCTGGTCCGCTGTATTCCTCAACATGGAGTAGTTCTCGCCACACTTTCTTGGGTTCGCAAATGAAAGAGTGAAAATCGTGGATGAAGCATGTATGGCTGTGTAGCACCATCTCTCGCCTTGTATATTGCCAAGCCCGTGGCAATTAATGACTATAGTCTTGGCAGCACTGGGCAAGGCTGGCAAGCTGGGTACGTGTATTGAAAGGTACTCAGGTGAAGGCGTAGATGGTTTGATGTGTTTGCTTTCTAGATGTCGAGTGAAAGGCCTTCCAAGTCTGCAAAATTCCTGTCACGGTCGAAATTACCACGAAAATCAAGGGTCAGAGTAAAGGCTGAGACAGCGAACCAGAACGTCGTAAAAGAGTCGTTGTTCCTCCTGTCATAGTATTATTGTCTTAACCTCTTTGAGTTGGAAGTCTGATACTTATCACCGATCTTGAGAAGCCTCAGACGAACGCGGATGTCGATTCTCGTCCGCGGCGGATTGTGTCAATGGTGGGCGGGCGTGTGCTTTTGAGGTTGCCCATCGGTTTCGAACAGAGCTTGCAAGATCGTCCCCCAAGAAACACTGGGACGAGCTTTCGAGGTGCGCCAAAGACGTTTCTCATCGTCCTGGAACTTGGGACCGAGGAGAATGAGCCGGCGCCCTGTGCGTGGGCCACATATTGAGACCTCCATCGTGGCGGTCAATGCCTTGCTCAGGATACCGAAAGCCCTTGCGTTTTGGTGGTATGGCCTACTCCACTTGGCCGCCGCGATGATTTTTCTTATGAAGGCCGCGAGGGGCCCCTGGAAACAATCAGCAGAACAGTTGTTTGCGGATGAGAGCGTCAATTCGGCAGTTGTGAAAATTCGCACCTAGGCCTTCTGGGAAGTCAAAACTGGGGTGCTCGTTGTGCAGTGCATATATTGTATATGTATCATACGGCTTCAGTTCGTCTCTCATCTTCAGCCGTTAAATCCAATCTCTTTCATAATAGCCCCGAGCCACCGTTGACCGCTTTGGTTCATATTTCATTGCTTTCCAGCCATGACGGCCTTCATCACATCTCAACCTCGAGGGCTTGAGAATGCGCGTCTGGGGGATCAAGTGAAATGCCAGAGTGCGCTTTAGGCATGTTGGTTAAGACGAGACTTACAACAAGATGCGACCCCTCAACCGGCGAAGCGTTCATGGGTTGAAGTACCAGGTACCCCGTCCAAACAGTACCTGCTTCCGCTATACTAACACCGGCCAATGATGTGTAGGCTGAGCACACAATACCTGCCAATAATATGTCATTACCGTTGCAGACCAATGATTGGCTGCTCCCATGCTGCCAAGCTATGCATCCACTCAATCCACTAGCGAGTTTCAACTTCTCAGCAGCTAACGCAGATTGTTGGTTCTCCGCAACTCCCAAGACTAGCCTCCATCCACGGCCCCCGCTTCTTCAGCCTTCCGTATCCTGCGCGAGCCATGAATAATGGGCTGATCCTCCATGTTATTCATTGCCAGTCGATATGTCCGCGAGTATTATAAAGCGAGACACAGACGGAGCGCCGAAAGGTCGCGACGGACCCAACCGCCGACAGGTCAAGCCTAATCTTTCAACCTGTAGGAAATACCTCCATCACTTTGGAATTCCACCTAAACTCAAGGACAGGACAACGGGACCGTTCTGCCCAAGGCGAAGAAGAGGACGAAAACATAACTGAGCACCGAAGAAAGAGCCCAAGAATCCAAGAGAGATGTCAGTTTCCCTCACCAAGACCTCTCGTAAGAGCGCTCGGCTACAAGAGAAACAAGCTGCGAGCCAACAAGGCACTGCAAGAGGAGGACCGACGAGCTCATTGCAGAAACCAGTAATCAGACAATCCAAGTGTCGTAACGAGAAGGACAAGACCCCCGTGGACACCGAAGACGAACTCGACCTATCCGCGAAGCGTCCGAGACACAGGCGAGCGCAACGCACTGAGACAAGAACTGGACCTGATAGGGAAAACCTCGTTGAGAGTTGGTTGGAAAAGTTGAATTGGTCTCGCAGGTCCTCAACAGAGAACGAAGCCCGAATCTCTGAAGCATCATTCAAGATGCCCCGCAAACCTCCTGCCGTGCTTCCGTCTCCGGACAACAGTTTCGAAAGATCGATCTCCACATCCAGAAAATCTGAGAGATCCGCTGCGAATGTTCATGACGCGGATTATCGACAGTTGTTACGCGATCGCAATATTTATATCAATCGTGAAGACCCACCCCCCGGGTTGAAACACCGGGCACGGAGAATAATATCACGGTCTCGAACATCTCCTGAGATGGATGATGAGGCCGTTCAACAACTGATAAGGACAAGCCGACGGGTTGAGGAGGAGGGTGAAGAAGCTATTGTACTACAATTAGCTCCGGACCTGATTCCAGCTATGAAGATACTTCCGGATACACGATTGGCATCTAATGCCGATCAACCGTGGAACAATTCTGTTCCTATCCCGCTCGATACGTCTATTCTGACCAATCCACTCCCCTTACCTAAACCGAAACCAGACCTAGCCTTTGGTTACTCTGAGGCGGCGTTTACCCGAAACCAACTAGGGACAATTGGTCTTCTCGTTGACGATCAGTTCGGCAGAAGCTATGCCGTCCCAGACCAGAAGGTTCGATTTCCATTCCTGGAGATCGAGTTCAAATCACAGGCTCAGAACGGAACTCACTATATCGCAACGAATCAGGCTGCTGGTGCTGGAGCCGTCGCATTAAACGGCTATATAGACCTCATACAGCGTAGCTTCGGCATGGAAGAATTTGATTATGAAGAGCCACGATATTTCTCGGTCACTATAGACCAGCAACTTGCTTGTGTGAACGTACACTGGCTGAGAGCGCCGGCTGAAAAAGGAGGACAACATAGTTTTCATGTTGAAGGACTTTCACAGCATCTTCTACGGGACGCAAACGGTATTCGAGCGCTTTCTCGAGCAATCAAGAACATTCTCGACGATGGTGCTGATGCACGACTACGAACACTTTGCGGGGCACTGGATGCATACCGCGAGACAGTCGTCCGCAACAGAAACGCAGCAAATGCGCAGAAGGAACGGCAACCTGAAGATGGACCGGAATCGTATACTGGACAACAAGGCAGAAGATGAGTTCCTGGGCCTAAGGTTCAAGCGGGAGTAGTTGCATCTTGCGACGATATCGCAATCAGCCGACCGCCACTTGAAGCGGTTCAGCCAGTACAGACGAGACAACGAGGCAGAAGAGGGACACATGGGCCTGACGTGCAAGCGGGAGAAGACGTGCCCAGAGAAAAAGTCAGAGCTAGCCGGGTCGTACCTGGACCGGTCGAACCTTTGCACGCTGAGCAAAGACCACAACGCGTGCCGACCACGACGCGCCGTCAAGTTCTAAAAACGATCGAAATTCCCCTTAAAGCGACACGCCAATCAGCTAAGCGGGATTCGAGGGGTATGAAGTCTGGCTAAACGATAATATCTTATGCGTCGGGTGACGAACAGCCTTAGGAGGGCGCACAAAACGTGACAAAAGATACTGCGATCCTCAGCGGTGAATCTTGACCCCTGAAATCGACCAGCAACCTAACCGGCTCTTGTCTGGCTGCTCTTCGCAGCCAAGTTGAGTGAAAAGTGCTCGCAACTCACCCCACTTCCGGGCTAGGGTAGATGCCCGCCCTCTGTGCCCTTCATTTCTCACATACCACGCTAGCGGATCCTTGGGGTTCGAGACGACTCTGTTCTCGTCGCACAAGCCCAAGTGGCTCTATCCCATGCCACATCAACTGTGACATTCGAGAGAACATTGCATGTGAGACGCATACGCATCCATAACCTGAAGCTTATGGCCCTAAATTTTCCAGTCGCGACGGTGCACTTTCATTTCGCAAAGGAAGGGTTCAAGTTGCGCGGTTGCGCTGTGCAGTTTTGGAATTCAACGGTACAGGGCGTAACGATCGGACCCTCCGTCTTATACGGTAGCGCCAGGTAATACACGCACCACCGACTGCGGCTGCTAGACCGATTGCTCCAGTGATGATGCCAGCAAGAGCGCCAGGTCCAAGGCCATCATCGCCACTACTACCGCAGCATGGCGTTTCTGATCCTGTGGGAGACTGTGAGAGCGTCGCCCTTTGTTGTGGGAGTAGAACTTTTCGAAGCGGTTGCATCCGCTGAAGAAGTGGCAATCCCGGTGGCAGATGTCGTCGCTGTGGTTGTTACAGCTTGAGAAGTTTGATTTGTCACGGTCCCCTCAGCAACGACATAAAGACCTTCTCCAGCCTCACAGCACGCCGTTGATGCGTTGCCGTAACACCAGCTTCCGTCACTGCGCCTTGTAAGCGGAACATCCGAATGTTTATCGACGAAGAGCTTGATGCAGGACGAATCCTGCCATGTCGGGTCTGTACATGACTCCCGGTAGAACATGGCCGATTGTGGATTGTAGCAAAGCGCTATAGCACATTCAGTTTCGAAGAGCTGACAGCAACGTGCATCTATCTTTGAGCGTACCAAAGGGCTGCAAATATCATAGGCGGCATGGCACAGCACATGCCAAACGCAGTGGATGCGTTGCAAGAGAGATATGTGCCCGGCTGAATGCCGGGCAGCCGGCTGCGGTCCCTCCTATCTGGTGTGTAACACATTGCGAAAGCCTGTTCAATCTGAACAAACATCAACAGGAGGACCAGAGTCGCGGCGTTCATTTCGGGGCCGACATGTGCTGGAGAGTGGCGAGCCTCGCACTGGACGTGCTCAGCATTTTGAACATGGCTGTGGTAAAATGGCAGAACGACTCCTCAGCCGTCGCCTTGTGCAAGGCAACGGCGCTATGATACAACGACTTTTGCAAAAGGATTTAACCCAAGCATCTATCTGCGTTCCAAGGTTGTGTTTGGATTCGTCATGTGTCAGTCTGCATGGCCTGCATGGCTATTGCTAGCTCAATAATTAAGCACTAGAAACGCGGGCGGTGCCGGCGAGGTTTAGCGCTCTGCAATGCACAGCGGCGTGTTTCGCGAAGGCTGGTAATGTAGATAGATACAAGGAGCAAATCGCAACGCTGATAGTACTTGAAGCCGCCCAGCACTGTATAGACTGAAAGGCAATTATTGGTCAAATTGAATAAATAGAGTCGAGCGATGTTGGAAGAGCGCTGTGGCGTCGTTCTCAAGTGTTGTTCGTGTAGAAAGAAGCTCACACTGTTTTCGAATACTCTACTCGGGACCCTTCGATACAGGTATGTAGGTAAGGCTGGCCCCCACTGGGTGAAGCTGGAGTGAGCCGGCATGGACCAGGGGCCAGGTCACCTCGGGCGTACAGTATTCAACGCTTAGCAGTTTCCAATTCTAACGTGGTGACATCTCTAGTCCCTCAAGCCTCGATAAGGCAAGAGCCGGGGTTGTGATCTTGTCAGGGAACTCGTCGCTTGAACCCGGTCCATGATCCTATTCTAGCGAATGCGTCTGAGATAGGTAGTTGTGCGTGCACGGGTGGACTAAACACATCTTGGACCGCCCTCAATGCTCCATGCGTTCCGTCTCAGTTAGCTCAGTTCCCTACCGCATTCAGTAACTCCGGGGCCCCGATGGAGCTGCTTGAACAAAAAAAGGCGGACGGTACTTCTTTTACCTACAGTACTTCCTCTAGCGGTGGGCAGACACCTCTACGCGGCCGTGGGGACCACTACTCGAGCATTAGACATGTCTGCCTACATGCCATATACCAAGTACATATTACAAAGTGAACGACCAAAGCTGGTTTAGTTTGGGAAGGCTGTTGTGGCTCCTTGTCGCTCGGGCCCGGGCCCCTGAGGCTGAGAGGGGGCTTCGCCCACCTTTTACACCAATCAATAGGCTGGGTTGTATGATGGCGCCTGTAATGCAATACAAACCGAAATGTCCCCCAGGACACTTTGTCTTTCTAGGTCGCCTGGCCTTGGAAGTCGTATGATTCGCATTAACCTTGAGCTTGTCCTACTGCTACAAGTAGTGACGCTGAGAATGCTCGCGCGACCAAGTGAGTCGGATCTGATAGGTACAAAGGGACCTAGAGCCTGTGCGATCGAATCGCGAATAGGTTGGAACTCAGAGCTCTATCTCGAATGTTTTCTTCCTACTGTGATGAAATCTAGGAATTTTTATGATATACAACAGTCCGAAACTTGGATCAACAACTCGCGTCAACCATTTTACCTTCGAACCTACCTACCACCGAAACACGCCCTGCTTTCTCACTTGGCGTCAAACTCCATGACGCTTGCAACACGCGCACAATGTTACCGGTCGTGAGCCTAAGCGAAACGGAAACCGTCGTAGTCGGCTGCGGCAACGCGCTCTACACGTCGGCGGAACTCTTTGGACTCTCCGCAGTATCTCGAGATAGTCCTCGTCGTCTTGCCCTTGACGTTGGTGTTGACGCCCGTCATCCAGCTGTCAACCTCGTTCATCAAGATCTGGCCCCTTGCGCACTCTTCGACATGCTGGTACCAGCTGTCCGCCGCCTGTTGTGTTGCTTCGACGTAGTGGTAGTCGTGCTCGCGGATGTATTGCAGCAGATCACAGATGGCGTCCACAATGTACTCGACGTTGCGTGTCGCATTTCCAAATGGCTGATGGGGACCCAAAACCATGAAAAGGTTGGGCATGTTCGGCACAGTGAATCCCAGGTATGTCTGCGGCCGGTGATCGGTCCACACTGCATGTTCACCTCCTGGCGTATCGCCCGAAGCAATCATTGGACGACCGTCCTTGCCGTGGAAATCAATCGCGCTGAAAGCGCCCGTGATTGCGTCAAAGCCAGTGGCGCAGATCAGGATATCCAAGGGGTGCTCTTGACCGTCGGAGGTTTGAATTCCGCCCGGCGTGATGCATTCGATGGGTGTCTTCCTGAGATCTACCAGATGGACATGCTCCTGGTTGTAAGCCTCGAAATACCCGCTCTCGAGCGGTACGCGTCGTGTACCGAACCCGTGCGTCTTGGGGATGAGACTTTCTGCCGTTTCTGGATCCTTTACCCGTTGTCTGATCTTGTTGGCCATGAACTCCGAGTACGCTGCATTTGCGGCGCGGTCGGTATACGTATCCGCGAAAACACTCAACCACTTTCCGAACCCGGGCGTGTTGTACAGCTTCTCCCAATGAGCAAAACGTTCTTCTTCGCTCACGTCGGCCCATTTGCGAGAGTCGGGGAGATGCATGAAGCCGGAAGCCGATCTGAAACACTTGTCGAAGATGTCGGGATAGGTTTTCTTCAGTTCTTCCATCTCGTCGGCCGAGATTTCTTTGTTTCGTAATGGCGCAGCCCAATTTGCCGTGCGCTGAAACACCTCCAATGATTTGATTCCCGGCTCCTTTGACAGGGCTGTGATGATCTGAATGCCGGTGGCGCCCGTGCCAATAACACCGATCCTCTTACCGGCAAAGTCTCTCTTGATGTCGAGATACTTTGGCCAGCGAGAAGTGTGGAAAAGTTCACCCTGGAAAGTCTCAATTCCACGGATTGCCGGTAGCGTGGAAGAGGAAAGAAAACCCATGGCGCTAATGACAAATGTCGAGACATGCTGGCCACCTTTGTTGTCGATCAAGGTCCATGTCTTTTTCCTTTCGTTCCAATGGGCTTCCTGGATGGAAGTGTTGGACAAAATAAAATCCTTCAGCTTATGCTTCTCGGCAAATCGTTGAAAATACTTGAGAGTCTCAGGCTGCGGTGAATAGGCCTCCTTCCAGTGCCACTCATTGAGAAGATCTTTGTCGAAAGATAGGGCGTATGACAAGGACTCCGAGTCAAATCGACAACCGGGGTACGAATTCCAGTACCAGGTTCCGCCAACGTCGGGAGCCGCATCAATCACCTGTACCTTCCAGGCAGGAAAGCGCTCTCGAATGTGATGCAGAGAACACAGACCAGAGAGACCCGAGCCGATGATGATAACGTCGTACGTCTCGTTGGATGGCGGCAGAGTATCAGAAATAGCCTTCAACCTGTCGGCAGTGGTGCTGCTGCCGGAGACCATGTCTGGACACTTTCAGATGCGACGAGCGACTACAGGAGGATTTTCGATAAGCTGAATATGGGCGAGAGGAGGGTGGCTCTCAACTCTGGGTGTCCTTTGAGAGCCTTCGACACTGTAATACCATGGCTGCTTTGTAGACCAAATATCTAGTCGTTTGTCTTTAGGGAATTAGGCCCCAAGCAGCAGAGCGAACTTTCCGCTGCCGGAATCCGGGTGATCTGTCCAAGTCAGGAGGGTGTGTCACCTGCTTCCCAGACTGGACATCCACGACCGATAAGGAGAAACTGGAGGCCGGAGCAAGGGCCCTCTGAGCCGGGCCGGCAGACCGAGCCAAACACGGCAGCTCCAGCCGGGCTCATGTTCCGATCAAGCAAGTCTGCTGGACTAGTAACGGCGCCTGAGAATATTTGAGAAAGAATGAAATGGTATCTGGCTAGTTTTGTGTGGGTGGATGGATGGAGGGTGTGGACGTAAGGATAAAGCGAATTCAGATACACAGCTACCTATTCAAAAATCTAGAAGTGATGTTTTTCTCTTTTGCACTCAAAAATTATTCTCTTTCGATCTCGGCTCGCAAGATATACTGCTTCGAATAATAATGGCATCCTTCGACGGCAAAGTAGTAAGTACTCATTTCCAAACCCCTCCCACACCTGAATGCGGGACCATGAAGTCGGACTTGTAATAACCACAAATCGATATATTCAAGATCGGAATCACAGGCGGTGCGTCTGGAATGGGCCTCGAGATAGCGAGATTGCTTGCATCCCGCGGTGCGACAATCTCGCTTGCTGATATCAACGAGGAGGGCCTAGAGAAGGCGGTCAAGTCTCTGCAGGGTAATGGGAAGCACATCTACACAAAAGTGGACGTGACTCAGAGCGCAAGCGTGGATGCCTGGATTAAAAGGACTGTTGAAGAGTTGGGCAAGATCGACGGCGCGGCCAACATGGCTGGCATTCTTACTGACCCCAAGCCTGTCACCGACAGCGATGATGACGCCTGGGAAAGAACGTTTGCTGTCAACACGCGAGGCGTCTTCAATTGCATCAGGGCTGAGCTGAGGGCAATGAAGGACGGTTCTAGCATTGTACGTCGACATTCAAAGCGATCTGCCCCCCAACGCCAGGTTGACAGATTCTCTACAGGTCTCGGCCGCCAGCGTTTGGGGCCAATTCGGTGCGCCTGGCAATGCCGCGTACTGTGCAAGTAAAGCCGCTGTCATTGGGCTTACGAGGACTGCGGCCAAGGAGAACGAGAAGGTCCGAGTGAACTGCGTGTCGCCAGGTACGTCAGCTGTGCCAGGTGGTTTACCCTTGGCAAGGTGTAGCTGACAACGGGCGTAGGATCTGTCGCCACAGCCATGTCCGTCCATGAAGATCCCGCGGAAGTCAGACAGAGATTGCAGGTCACGGCTCAGAAGAGGAGAGCCCAACCCATTGAAATCGCCTACGTTGTCGCATTCTTGTTGAGCGACGAGTCGAAGTTCGTTACCGGTGCCGTATACAATGCCGACGGTGGCTGGGTCTGTTGATCTTGGGGCAAGAGCTTCTTGTACGTCTGCGCTCCACGTAAACGACAAAGGCACATAGATTTGATAGCGGCTCCTGGGTAAAGATAGACAAGGATTCGTTTCCCAACCTGCAAAGTTTTTGGTCCGTAAATAGGAGACGTTCGTGATATGCCTCCTGATCCAATGAGGCGTCTCGGGGTAGAACTCCAAGTGCCCTGGAATGAAAAGCTTGGACGGGCGTATTCTACACAGGGCTAATGACCTAATAACCCAACGATGCGGGAATCAGCGCTGACTGATCTATCAGGAAGTCTGTATAGAAGACACTTGGATGCGAAGGAATGCCAAGGCGCTAAGCCACCAAGGTCGTCTTAGGGCTCCACTTCTCCGACTGTGTCTCCACCACGGGAGCCAAGGCCGTGCTTGCATGTCACTTAGGTTCATAGTTGCCTTGATTTCTCCGCATCCATCCTGGTCAGCAATTGAGAGCCGCAGCGGGCCACGTGGCACTGGGGGGCTACATTGTCGTGAGATGATACAACAATCTCCCGTGCTACGATAAGGAACAAGTGAAGATCTATCTATGGTGAGAGAGAGATAAGCCCCAAGCTATTCATTAGCTAGACGCGATATTTGGTCATTTCGGAGGAGTGCCGATCGACAAACCTGGAAGTTTGAGGGTTGCCTGTGTTCCGGAAGTCCTTCGGCAGTACGGCATAAGGGTTGAGTCAGTAGGTCCTAGCCACACCTGGACACGAGATCAAGCAAGATCCCATGTCTTTTGTAGTTTTAAGAATCACAAGTGTCTGACCCTCTCGAGGATGGACAAAGGTTCGTTGCCCCGATCAACGCAAGGATAAGCCAGATAGCTACTGGGCTCAAGGCCACTGGTATTGAACCGACTTGAGTGGTACGAGGCTCAAAAGGCACGGTTGGAGGTGACATGGATTAGACCGTTTGCGGAGGTCCACCATATTTGAATATCCAGCTACTGTGGAACATATGTTGCTGTATTTTTAGCGGATGTTCGGTCACCTTACGAAGGTGTCAATGAATAATAAAATCAGGTCCCCCAGCCAGCTGTCTGAGAAACGGACCGACCAACCGGGCCTGTACACCCTTTGCCCACCTCGATGCGTCTCTACCGGGCATCAGGTGCAGCGCGACAAGACTACAAAGGGTTCTTTAGCCAGTGAACTTGAGCGTTTCGTTTCCGAAAACTCGGCTGGCTATCACTTTTGAGATGCCTTCGTCGACGAGCAAGGACGACAGGATACTCATCCTCGGTGGTGGCGCCTTTGGCCTGGCTACCGCATATAGCCTAGCTTTCGCGGGTTACACGTCTGTAACAGTTCTCGACAAGCACGACGACCTCCCAAGTCGATTTTCCGCCGGTTTCGACCTCAACAAAATCATCCGGGCCGAGTACTTGGATCCGTTCTACACTAAACTCGCCCTGGTGAGTCCATGTCTAGACACTGGTTGCCGACGGGATCTGTTGGCTTGTGACACTGGTCGATTTGAGCTGATGCAATTTGTACAGGACGCGATACGCAAGTGGCAGACGGACCCGTTATACAAATCGCATTATCGGGAGGTCGGTTATCTCAATGTCGTCTCTGGTTCGGCTCCTCCCGTCATTCGAGATGCTCTTCACAAATACGCGAGTTCGATCGAGAAAGTTCCTGCGTTCAGTGGCAAAATCACCATGGTGGACGGTTCAGTTTCGATCAGGGCCATTGAACCAAGATTCTCCGGGACTGTGGACGGCTGGAAGGGCTACTTGAACCGACTGGCAGGCTACGCCCATTCCGCAAATGCGATGGAGGCCGTGTATAGAGCATGCATGGCCAAAGGCGTGGTGTTTCACCTGGGTTCTTTCGTGGGGGAAGTGCAGAATCTCGTCCATAGTCCAGGTAGCCACGGCAAGGTCACTGGATGCAGGACTCGAGGAGGCATCATCTACGAAGGTGACTTGATCATTGTTGCCCTTGGTGCAAATGTTGCCCAGATCTTACCTTCGATTTCTTCGCAGGTCACTGCATCTTGCTGGGGCGTGACACACATCCAACTGTCACCCGACGAGGCTACCAAACTGGAAGGAATCCCAGTGACCAACGTGCGCGACATTGGCTTCTTCTTCGAGCCCGATCCCGCCACCAACAAGCTCAAGCTCTGCCATATGGGTGGCGGGTACACAAACTATGGCAATACTCCTCCTGGTCAGAGTGTGTCGCTGCCCTACCAGACCCTGGAAGAATCGAAATTCATCCCGGACGAGGACGAGCGACAGATTAGACGTTTGCTCCGCGAAGCGTTGCCAGAGCTCGCAGACCGACCATTGATTGACAACCACTTGTGCTGGTTCGCCGACACCCCCGACTCGGACTACATCATCGATTTTGTGCCGGACACGGGTAAATCCTTGGTAGTTTTGTCGGGAGATGCGGGCCACGGATTCAAGATGCTGCCGATCTTCGGTGACTTCGTCCGTGGGCTCTTGGAGGCCGGTGAACAGAGAATTCAAAAGTGGAAATGGAAGATCCCGCAGCAGCAAAACGGTATAGCCCAGCAAGTCGCCTGGCGGGCGAGCAAGTCCAGGGAGCTTGGTGCAATACAGAGTAGATTGTAGGACGGGTTGCACGCGCAAAGTCGGGCTTCCTAGTGTATCGATTGAGCGTTGAATCCACCAGCACATTTAGACGAGGCTGTGCTGATACTTTGATGATCCTTACATGTCATGGTAACACCTATCATGGTGTCAACGCATAGACTGACGCATTTGCATGGTTTCAGCAGCAGCTGCGAGGCCAAGTGATACACGGCCCGGGCTTCCGAGAAGATGGCTATATAGATACGTCGGGGTCCCCCTTGGGCGAACGCCAACAAGTTTCGTTTCGTCCCATTTTGCTAGATCTTTACATCTGGCATCAACATGGCGGAAGTGAAGGAGTATCTGCTGAAACCCACATCTTTGGTCCCCAATTCGCCGCTCTCACTGCTCCATTACAAAAAGGTTCTCAGTCTAGGTCAACTGGAACCCAAAGGCGTGCAACGGATTTTTGCCCGCAACGGCTGGGAGGTTCAATGGCTGGTTCGCTACGGATCCACTCAGAGGTCGCATTACCACTCTGCCGTGCATGAATGCATGGCCGTATTCTCTGGAACGGCAACTATCCGCTTTGGCGTCGCCGACACGGTTGAGGACATGCAGGAAAACACGTGGGGCTCAGGCTCCGAGGCCGGTGGCGTCGAAGTGGGCGCGGAACCTGGCGACCTGTTCATTATCCCGGCGGGTGTCGCGCACAAGACTTACGACGCCAAGCCAGCAATGGATTTCTTGCGGCTGACTGGCGGGGACGGTCGTTCTCCCGGGTCCGGTGAAAATGCGGCGGCGCTTTTGGACGGCATCGTGCTGTCAGGTTTCACCATGATGGGTGCGTATCCCGTGGATGGTGCACCGTGGGACTTCTCAGAAGGAGGGGAGCACACCGGAAGATATGACGAGGTTTGGAAGGTACCTGTGCCAGCGAAAGATCCTGTATTTGGAGAGTCTCTGGCCGGCCTTTGTGGCTTCTGGGGAAAGAAAACGGGAGGTGAAATGCTAGAAAAGCTAGTGTCTCGATCAAGTCTGTAATACTATGGATAATTACAGGAATACATCCTGTAATACTATGGATAATTACAGGAATACATCCTGTAATAAGAGGGGCCGTAGGTTGAGAGAGCCATGTTCATTTTCTCCCCAAGATCAACGGCTCGTGGAATTTTGTATTCGAGTTACTGTACAGAAATTACGTCCAATGGTCACCTCGCAATGTCGTGTGTCAGATCTCCAAAAGCCGGGTCCGACAGCCACTCAAGTCCATCGAGATCGATCGAATCGGCTACATTGACGAGTTGCTCTCCTGTAAAGCCATCGGTTTGCCAGAAAGCATCCGTTCCCTGACCGAGAGTGGCGGTGGACGAGGGCCTGTGGGCGTCTCCAAAGCCCGGGTGAAACAGCTGAGGACCACTCTCTCGAGAAGCCAGAAGCTCGTATGACGAGCTGGGTTGTGCTGCATCCTTTGCAGTCATCTTGTTGCCACCAAGTCCAGTTATGCTCGGTACTTCGACACTGGACTTGCTTTGCTCAGTGTCACGCACCGGGAGTTGACGTAGAGTAGCTTCCAATTGTTGCAGTTCAGATTTCATCAACGCAGCCACCAAATTGCCTCTGCGGATCATTTCATCCAAGATGCTGTAAGCCACCGAAGACCATGGAGTAGAGTCCTTGATAAACAAAGTATCCACGGCATTAGCCATCAAAATGACAAGCGTCGAAATAAACGTCGACTCAAGATCAAAGGGCAGAACACTTTCTACAACCAGCTCATCAGCCCATACCATCCAATATCAAGACTAGTGGGTAAAAATTTACCAAGAAGTGTTTGATCACGCAGGATCCCCAATATGTTCAATGTCTGCTGTGCTGATTCGATGCAGACCTGCACAAGTCTATTGGTAGTCTGGGACTCTAGAAGTTTGGCGAAAGTCCCCGACCCGGCAAGCTTAGCTTCTAGAAAGCTGTAAAGAATAGGCCTGGTTGTAAGGATGACACACTATCGAAATGAATTAGCAGGTGCCCAGTCACGGATGAAAATGGACAACATACCTGATGATATTGGAGGTGTAGATGAGCATAGAGTCTGGAAACCCCGCCATGGTTGCTTCCAAACACACTGAACGAAGTGTTGAGGAGATCCGTCAAGCTGGCGAGACTTTTCAAGGTGTCTTTGGCAGATGCTAGAAATCCCTCCTTGAAGCTGCCTTCGGGTCCATAGATGGCTATGAGAAGAACGTTATTGGTACTGGGGCTCTGTACGTTCGTAACTTCAACTGCAGACTTACTGTTGAGCACTCGTGCAAGCAGCTTGTTCAGTCTGATCTGGAAATCAAGCGCCGCAAGTCGCTGAGGAGACTTGGGGAAATCTGGTAGTGGCGCAGCAATTGATTCCTCTGCAACAGCCGCAGGAGCCCCCATGAGAGCTGACATCTGTTGATCGAGAATGTACACCGTCCACCATAGCTTACGACATCTCTGCACTAATGATGTACTGATGTACTGGCTCTTCATGTCCGAGTGCAAGCCATTTTCGAGCGATAGTCGAACGGCCCAGCCAATCTTTACTCCAAAGTTAGCCCCGATGCGCGTGGGAAAACACTTCAAAACCATACTCACCGTTTTATAAGCAGCGCATCGGAACTCGAGGCAGTGGAAGAACAGGGCAGCACAGCATAAGACCTGTGTCAGTTCAATAGGGTCCGCACCAATGAACATGAAATCAGGGAGTAACTGCATGGCCTCCACGAAGAACTCCGTCCCTGCTGCCTTGGAGGCTGTGGTCGTTTGGACAGCGTACGCCTTCCCGAATGACAGGATCAGTAAATAATGCACATACCAGAGGCTCGAACGATCAGGGCCCCCAGGCGCACTCTCGTGGAATAATGTGAATTGACGCATGAAGATCTCTTTGTCAAACAGGTAGAATAATTGAGTACAATGGAAGTCGACTAGGTTAATCAAATGGGCGGCAAAGTCTGGGGCGGGAAGGGAGATTTGACTGCCAGTGAGTCTTGTGGAGGAATTTCTCTTGCCGTCCCATCCCAGTGTGTAAACTTTGCCCTCGAACAACAGATTATCTAGAGGAAGAGGAGTTCGGCGAATCCGCTTGTAGGCCAGGGAAAGGACACGGCGGCCAAAAGACCAATTTGAAGACGGTCCAAAATAGACTGCGACGGGTATTTCAGTATGCAAGTCCTTCGTTATGAGGGTAAAGCCAGGCGGACTTACGCGGCTTGCCATCGCGATCAGGGTCATAGTTGGCAAAACCAAGTCCGAACGGATTCGAAAGCCCAGGCTCGAGTGATTCGCTCAGCTCTTGTCGTGCTGGTAAACTGGCTACTACGGCGTTGAGACATTGATACCACCAAACGAGGCGCCATACGTACTTGGTGGTTGATCTCGTCTGTCCTCTTGGTGTCTTTCCGAAGGTCGCTCCGGAGGCGAAATGTCACCTCGTGGCTCTTCTGAACGAGTTAGCACAGCTGGAGTGTAAGTCTTTTCGCTCCGGGGGAATTCACCATCTTCCCTCGCTGCATCTGGCCAGGTCCAAATTGCACTACCTGTGGGAGGAGACAAGCTGGCATTTCGCCTATCGCGCTCGAGTGACTCCAGCCTTTGTTCGAGATCATGGATATACCTGCGTATGACTCAGTCAAACTAGAGCTTTGAGCATGTACTTACTCCCTATGCTTTACATACCCTCTGGTAACGGTGATTTTTTGGGTGCGGTCGTCGAACTTACACACCCGACCTTTGCTGAGACACTGTTCGCACGGCAGTGAACCCGTGCATCGAATTTTGAGTTGCCTGCATCTTGTGCACCTGTAATTTCCCCCAGGTCAGCGTCGTCAGACCTAGACTTTTCCCCGTGGGGGAAGGGGAGCATGTCTCTCGCGTACGCTACCAACGCCCGCCTCACTCCTGACCCATGTGCGGTGTGACCAGGCAAATGTGGACGCTCTCCACCCATGTTGAGAAATCAACGTCGAGAAATTCGCACCCTTCGTACCGGGTGAAAACGAGACTCACGGGACAAGATGCCGTGGAAAATAAAAGCGAAAGTGGAAGACGGCCGTTGACGGGAAGAAGGAGGAGTAGAGACACGGACGGCCTTGCCGGCCGATGATATGAAGCCGTTGCGCTTGAGACCCCAAAACAAGGAATGACTAACTAATTATAGTTAGCGTCCCTCGATGGAGCTGATAAGCTGGAGATGGCCAGCTCCCGCTTGCGGCCTTACGTTATCGGTTTAGGAGACCTGGTCCACTCCACTACATGATGCGGACCATTTCCCCGACTGCACCTTAGAGGAGGTCTATCTCCGGAGGCTGGAATGCCATAGACTATGCACTCGACGAGGACAATCGAGGAGAGAAGCTCAACCATAGAGTGTGGCGGCGATATACTTATAGTGTCCGACTGTCTTATCTTGGGCACCGTGAGATAACGCAGAGGTTCAAGTGTCCTTTGCACGTCGGCGTATATAATTTCTCGTGTAGCCAACCGTGGCACCTCTACGTTCTGCCAAAGTTCTGTCACAGTTCCCTGCCCTACTCAAAGCCATGGAGAAAGATACCAAGTCATCCCCAGAACCTTCCCTGGCCCAAGTCCCATCCCTTGAGTCTGGTGTTATGCTCGAAAATGCAGACCAACTTTCCCGACGGCTCAACAATCGACAAGTTCAGCTGATTGCCGTGGGTGGTGCGGTCGGCACCGCCTTGTTCATCAGCATCGGCGGTGCTCTCACAAAAGGGGGTCCCTTGAGCTTGTTGCTCGCCTATACCTTCTACAGCTGCATCATGGCTATGGTGAACAACTGCATCGCCGAAATGGCCACCCTCCATCCAGTCGCCGGAGGGTTTGTGCGCATGGCTGGAAAATGGGTCGATGAGGCGTTTGGTTTCATGGCCGGCTGGAATTTCTTCTTCTACGAGGCTCTCGTGGTGCCGTTCGAGATCACAGCCATGGGGATCGTGATTGGATTCTGGTCCGATAACGTCCCTACTGCCGCCGTGTGTGCAGGCTGCATTGTGGTATATGTGTAAGTACATTGCCATTTCCCAAGGACGTGTCTATCAGAGAATTGGTTCTAACTTCGACTCTGTCAGTCTCATCAACTCTCTCACTGTCCGTGCTTATGGTGAAGCCGAGTTCTGGCTCTCTGGTGGAAAGGTCATTCTCATATTCATCCTCTTCTCCTTCACCTTTGTCACCATGGTCGGTGGCAACCCCAAACATGACGCCTATGGATTCCGCTACTGGAAAGATCCGGGTAGCATGACCGAGTACCTATCTTCCGGAAGCCTGGGTCGTTTCGAGGGACTCCTCGCATGCTTGTGGAGCGCTGGTGAGTGTTTAACCCTCACCGTCTCAGGACCTCCAAATTTGAGCCATCGATCCTGACGTCTTGGAAAAGCTTTCACCATTGTCGGTCCGGAGTACATTTCCATGGCATCTGCCGAAACGAAGCGTCCGAGAATCTACATCAAAACCGCATTCAAGACCGTCTACTGGCGTTTCGGTGCCTTTTTCATCGTTGGCGCCCTGGCCGTCGGTATTGTCGTCCCTTATAACGACCCAACCTTAGTAGGCATCAATAACGGCACTCAAAGTGGCGGGGGTACTGGTGCTGCCTCACCTTATGTGATCGCCATGACGAATCTCGGGATCGGTGGCTTGCCTCATCTCGTCAATGCCTTGATCTGCACCAGTATCTTTTCAGCAGGCAACACCTACTTCTACGCCGCGACGAGAGCTCTTTACGGCCTGTCGCTCGAGGGCCGCGCCCCAGCTTTCCTCAAGAAGTGTACCAAGAGAGGCGTGCCTCTGTACTGCGTCGTCGTCACGGCCATCTTTCCGTGCCTGTCTTTCCTCTCTCTCTCGAGTGGATCTGCTGTCGTGCTCAACTGGCTCATTAACTTGGTGACGGCTGGCTCATTGATCAACTTTGTCGTCATACTCATCACCTACTTGGTCTTCTACAACGCCTGCAAGGCACAAGGCGTCGATAGACGCACATTTCCCTACTTCGCCTGGGGACAACCATACTGTGCCTGGGTCGCTTTGGTCTCGGAACTTGTCATCCTCTTCTTCTTCGGCTACACCAGCTTCGACCCACCCAGCGCAGACACCTTCTTCTCGTGCTATACCATGGTGGTCCTGGCCCCGTTCACGTACGGGTTCTGGAAGCTCTTCAAGAAAACACAGTTTGTCAAGGCCCAGGAGGTGGATCTCGTCTGGGAGAGACCAGTTATCGACGCGTACGAGGACAGTTTTGTGAGCCCCCCAGTAGGGTTTTGGACCGAGACCGCTCAAATATTTGGCTTCAAGAGAGACAAGGTCGACGATGATCGCCGAAGGTCCGTCACTGCTTAGGCTTAGTGTTCCCACGGAGACATATATTCATCGTTTGTTAGATATCGCCGAGGAGATGTACCAATTTATCTCAGTCAGTCTTCTTTTGGTAGCTGAATATGATGGTCGTTGCTTTACTGCCTTGAAATCTTACGTTACTGTTTACAGACGATTTACCTGTACACGAGGGGGTGACCACCGCCAAAGGACGAGATATAGTCTCATTAACAAACCTGGCACGAGCCATCTACTGCATCGACACCGAGGCTCGGTCTACCAGGGAGAATTCCTAATTCAACCTCTCAAAGACAATAGAACCGTCGTCCCTCCGGACACCTATTACCTATTTCCGCACAACATCGGCGACCGCCGCTGATCACACTTTTCTTCATATATAGTGTGGACGGAAAAGAAATAAAATCTCTCACATTTGATCCTACACGACAGAGAGAAGCTCTAGTATGTTCAAGGTCGAAAAGATTGCCTTCTCATCAAGAAGATTGGCAAGAGGAGTAGCCCGCAGTGTTTCCAACAACGACTCGTAGTCGGTCTAACCAGTCCCAGGCCCTCGGATTGGTCCCTACCTAGCTCGCTAGCAGTCTAGACTATAGTCCCGACTCCAATCTGGTACAGACCTCAGACACTACGAGTCCTCAAAGGACGACGCCGGAAGGCGATCACGATCCAATTACGAGAGCCACTTTCCATATCACCAAATGATACGGTACCGGGATCCTTGGTTGTAGATCCTTAATTACACAAGCTAGGTAAGAAGAGTATAAGTAGTCCCTGAGCCGAACCAGGACATATCCACCTCTGGTCCAAACTCGTCATTTGAAAGGAAAAAATCCGCTCCGCCTTCCAGGCCTATCAACGTATCTATAGCCTCAAGCGGTCAGGGATGACCATGTCATGGTGTCCTTTATGTTCTTGCGGCCCTCCTTCCGTGTCTCCCATGGCTCTGTCGATCGATTCGTCGGCTATCTGTGTCCGGTCCACATGCGTTGGCGTATCAGGGAATTTTGTTGTGGTGGTGGTAGTTGTGTCAAAAGCCGTGTTGAGGGGTTGAAAAGGTCTGGAATTGCTTGGGAAAGTCTCGTCCGAGCGAATGCCCTGCTGTTGAGCAACGGTCGAGGCTCGGGGCGGGCGCGAATGCTGCAACAAGCTTGTCTGAACCGCGGTGTGCTTGTAGATGACATCCCCTCGCGTGGCACGCGCCAACCACGAGACTACGAATTCAGCAGATGCGTACAAGTTCTGCAAGCGGCGAAGGGCCTGCATGCAAGTCTCTAGCTTCCTCATGCTGGTCAGCCGCGAGCTGGGTTCTTGCGACTGCAGCTCCTGCAAATGGAAGATGGCGGCAGGAAGAACGCAGGTGACACCGGTGTTGGGCAAGAATTCCACCAGATTACGGGCGCACAAGTCCCGATACAGATCGGTAATCTCGTTGGACGCTTCACGTATCCTCCGGCAGGAGTATTCGCGCAGTTCTGGAGCGGCCGAACCAAAATTCATCCTGGCCTTGTCGAGCAATGGCCTGTGAAGAACACACACAGCTGCAAAATACAGGCCAGTGAGCAAGGCATGGTAGATGTAGACGAGGTCGTGGCCAGACGAGTCCGACCGTGGTTCGGAATCTTGGAACTGGTACGTCAAATCAAGTGGAAGGTTGGAAAACCAGTTTTCGAGTTCCCTATCACACTGGAGAACTTCAAAGTACTCACCCAGCAGTATGTTGGACCTCAAATTCCATTCTTGGCCATCCTTGCCATCCCTACCATCTTCATCAGGGCTTGCCAGATGACTAAAGTTGAAATGTTTGAGGTCGGGGATCTGGCTAATGCGCACGCATAGCTTGGTCAGGTCGATGCATAGAATGGCCAAAGCGCGCTGAAGTTCCACGTCGCTCGCCACCTGACAACCGCCTAGCATCTCCTCTCGAATTGCTAGCCATATTAAACATACTGCTAGAATCCTCGGTATCTTCTTTTAGTAGGGCCTTTTCTATTATTGTTATTAGGTTTGCATCGAACCTCCGAGGCCCAAAAAGAATGATGTTCAATAGGTGTCCAAACAGCGTATAAGCCCCAACCACTACGTTGATGTCGTAGAAACAATAGAGGAAGAGCTTGCAATCACACAGCGACCAGAACTTGGTCGAGATGTGTTCACCCATGCGTGTCCGCCATGGCTTCCACCTGGTGCGTGTGGACTATACGGCGGGGTCCTGGTGGGCGGATCGTTGGCTGCCGCTCAGTCAACCGTCCCACCCGAACTGCTAGTTCACAGCAGTCACTGCAACTTCTTGATCGGCGCGAGCGCTCAATCACCCATATTCTATCATGTGGAGCGTGTGCGGGATGGGCGATCCTTTGCCACCAGGAGAGCAGATGCTATGCAGAACGGGAAGTGCATCTTTACTGCAACGTTGAGTTTCGTGCAACCCGAAGGGCAAGCAGGACAATCCATCTCCCATGCGCACGCCATGCCACATATCGAGTTGCCCGAAGAAGTGGACAGTCGAGAGGGAGCTTTCCAAGGGCGTCCGTTTCAAGTGGTAGACTTGCCACTCACGCCAGCGCCATACCCAACCAAACAGAAGCTGAGACGTCTCATTCGCACACAGCGGCGAATCGACCGTAACAAGGATCACAGCAGTAATCCCGACACGAATCATGCTGTCTCGAGCGCCGTGCAAAGCGCGTCTGTTCTCTCGCAGAACCTCGGTGTTCTGGCATATCTGAGTGATTTCTATGTCATCAACACCGCGACAAGAATATATCGTCTTCCCATGTTTTCGTCCCAGAGTTATATCAAGAGATCTGTATCAGCCTTGGACCGGGCCGGGGCGGCGGAGAAAGAAACCGCAATGACACACCTCGAGAACATGATTCGAACCGAGAAGTTGGAACTGAACCAACTGGCGCAAGTGTCCCTGAGCACCAAGACGAACAATTTGCAGGTCGGCATGATGGTGACGCTCAGTCACACCGTCTTTTTTCACAATCAGCAGGCCGTTCGACCCCACGAGTGGATGTTGTTCGAGATGGAGAGTCCGTGGGCAGGCGATAATAGAGGCATTGCCGTTCAAAGGATACGGAACAAAGAGGGTCTGCTGACTATGACATGTGTGCAGGAGGGCCTAATTAGAACTGACCCTAGGGATAAGAGTCTGCTCTGAGCTTACATATGCACTCCTACCCATCAATCTGTTCACCTCTCAATGGATCAGTCGTGCGGTGGTAGTTGCGCAACTATCCGTGTGGTTTAATTACCTATACGTAACAATGGCAACTCCTTCCTTCCTTCCTTCTTGCAGACTGCTACATGTTTATCTTGATCGAGAGCAAGCGTCGTTTTCAAATCCAATCTGCATAAAGGGTGCGTGTGCCTGATCCAAATATCTGGCCCCAAATTGTACGGGGTTGGATTTGATAACAGTAATGATACCTGTGAGACCAATTGAAACATCAGTTTACCCCGGATATTCAGTCCAACTAGCGAGGATGCCGATGTCGGCTAGCCCTGCCAATGGGACCGAAGCACCAGCATCAATACATGCAAGCTCTGATCTCAAATGCCGTCCACAAGGGCATAGCCCTGCAGGAATGCCTCGGCAATATAGAAACCCTGAGCCTATACTTCGATGATCCTGAGCACCGAAGGTCTTGCCCAGGGTGAGATGTTGTCAGCTTCGCCGAAGAACCAGAAACTTGGTGAAGACATGGCTCTGAAAGCAGTCTCTTTCAGGTAGTCGAGGCTCTAAGCATAGTACCTCCCGGTGCAAGATGTTTTCCATGGTTTCCATACCATTAAGCACTTATTTTGAGGGGTTGAAATGCGTGAGATATGTATTTTGGAGACCACCTAAATCACATTGACTTCTCTCAGATATTCGGTTATTTCGACGTCCCTCAATCTTCTCCTCAACCCTGGGCCGCGGGCTTCGTCGGCTGCTCCTTGACAAGGTAGGTACCTGTACCTGCATAAGAGCTCGTGGTGATGAGTGGTACTGTGCAAAGGCTCTGGAAGAACCCCCATTGGTTCCTGATTCTCTACTCGTATTTGCACTACCCCGAGCTCAACACGTTACCGAGCTGAAGAAAAGCTCTTGCGACCCCGTTACCCCAGATCGCTGAAACAAATTGAAAATCTGGGGATTCAAAACCGCTGCAATATATTGTCTGACTCCCGAGGTTTGCTGTCGGGCCCGGTTAGTTTACCTCCCTATTACCCTCTATGAGATATAACCTTCGTCCTCAGCAGGATTCCATCCTGACCCCTCTGCGAGAGCCATCCAGTTTCAATCATGGATCAAACTACTAAACAGCCATCGGTGGAAGGTTTTGAACGCGTGAGCAATATTGACGCTTCACAAGAGATAGATGCAACATGGAAAAACACGGTCATTCCCAGGCGGCACCGGCGCCCACGAATGTCGCGATCTCAGCTTCCAGCTCCTATCTGCTGAAGCCACGCTTTATCGGATGTCTTGTTGGTTTCCTTCTCGGAGCCATGTGTGGGATGGGGAGCTATGCTATCATTGCACCGTTTCTCACCTACGTCAACAACGACCTGGGACCCGACCCCAACTACTTCTGGATCACTATTTGCTTCACTGTCATCCAAGCTGTGGGCTTGACTTTTGTTGGGCGAATTTCCGACGTCTTTGGGCGCCGTTGGACCTTTGTTGGAGGCTCTGTCATCTCGCTGATCGGGTACATCGTCTGTGTGACCGCACAATCCGTGTCCGCATTGATAGCTGGCATGTGTCTTTGCTCAGCTGGCGGTACGACCCAGACCAGTTTCTACTCGGCCCTCGGCGAACTGGTGCCGTTGAAGCACCGGTTCTTGGTCAATGGAATCATGTACTTTGGAGGATTTCCCATCTCCATTTTCGGACCTGCAATCACGGCCGCAAGCATTCTCTAATACGCCACCGGGCTGGCGGGTAATGTTCTATGTCATGCTGGCATCGAACGCTGTATCCCCCCTGTGCATATTCCTGTTCTACAAACCTCGAACATTCCGCGAGAAACATGAGCGGGACACCCTTGGATTCTTCATCAAAAACTTTGACTATGTCGGCTCCGTCCTGTCTGCTGGCGGCCTCGTCATCTTTCTCATCGGAATCTGTTGGGGTGGGGGTTCGGTCTACCCATGGAAATCGGCACATGTCATTGCGACCATCGTGGTGGGTAGTTTCACACTGGTGGCTTTCGTCGTTTGGGAGTGCACTGCGTCATTGACAGAACCACTGGTCCCCATGAGGCTCTTCCGCAAGACCACATACACGGCAGGCGTTTTGTCAGCATCGCTGGGAGCGTCACAGTACTACGCTCTGAACATCATCTGGCCGATGATGGTGACTATGGTGTTCCGGCCGGCCGATTTTATGACTCGAGCATGGCTTTTCACCGTGGTTGGTGGTGGCTTTGCAGGTGGCCTCATGATTTCATCTGCCTTTATTAGGTGGCTGACACATACAAAAATCCAGGTACTGGTGTCCATGTCTGTGGGGGCCTTGTTCTACGCCTGTGAATCCAATCCTGGTATTTCTATCTTCGTTGTCTGACCTATCTCTCCAGTGATTGCCACGCGCTCGCTCGAAGACGAGGCTCGTGCATTGGTGTTTGCGCTCTTGGGCTCCATCAGTGTGGCATGGAACGAGGCTGTGACGTTCACCATGTCGACAATTGAAGTCGACGACCAACAGACATTGGTGTCGCGTTCGGAGTGGCGGGCTCCGTGCGCGGACTTGTGGGAGCCTTGGCCTCGACCATCTTCGTTGCCATTGTCACGAATCAGCTCACTGAGGAAGTCTCTGGACGAGTACCAGTCGCTCTCATCACAGCAGGTCTACCGGCGAGCAGCATTCCCGACTGGCTGACGGGTTATTCTGCCGAACAACTCGACTCTGTCCCCGGAACTAATGCGACCATCAACGCGATCGGTACAGACGCCTACAAGCTGGCGGCCATGTCTGCTTTCAGGACCATCTTCTTCGTAGCTCTAGTCTTCAGTGGGTCGGGTTTGATCTGCAACTTCTTCGTTCCCAATGTGGACGACAAAATGACCAATGTTGTGGTGGCTCCACTCCACAATGTATCGTACGAGAAGACTGCGTCAAGCGGTGACGAGAAATCAGGAGAAGAAACAGACTGAGCGACAATTTCAGACTCGTGGGACCTTGTGTCCTGGATCTGTAATGTGTCGAGAGGTGGGAAATGAGTCCCCGGGGGCCAAAATCATCAGAATCATATTGAAATCGTATTACAAGAGACGAAGGGAGACAGAAAAAGGGAATCTGGGAAAATGAAGGACGTCGGCAGGAGGATCTGTCACTGTTCTGATGTTGTATAGCTATCTTCTACTCGACTGACCCCATGACTGCGACTCCGTGTAGGAATCTCTGTTGAAACGTCCATCAGTGCCCCTGGCGTTTGACAGTGGTTCATAAGTATGCATATCCATTCTATATGGAGATTTTGATTTCAATCTCCTTTCATATACCTCTGTTAATTTTCTCGTTTCTCTCGTTCCTCCTTCATGGAACCATGTACCATCAACCTCCACCGAAAAACAAAAGGAAAGAGCCTTGTCAACAAGACCTTCCAAACCGTGACAACTGTTTCTCGTCGTTTCAGCTCCTCCCCGAGGACTCATGAGCCTCCCGGCTATCGTGACCAGAGGAGCAAGACATCGGCAACAATCCAAGTCCAGGATGAAAGCGCGGATAATGTGTCTTTTTGCATTACTATCCCTCGGATTACCTCATTCTCAAGAATGAAAAGGGTGGCCTACGCAGTATCCGTACCATCTCAACCCCTCAGCAAGCCGCCAAAGAGTAAAAGTCTCATATCGCACCAACCGAGGTCTTGGTGGTGAAGCACTCTGAAAGACGTAGACCAAGCCTCATGTCTGCTCTCAATAATTGGTAGCAACGACTGAATATCTAAAGCCTCGGCCCGATGACTTACCCATATGCTGATATAAAGATGATACCATATTAGGACATGTACATGGTTGAAATATAACCCTGCTTAGCACTGTGTGAACCCTTTGACTAATTTCTAAGATAGCATTCGAGCAATAGCAGGTGAACAGAGAGGCCTGGAAGGTCGCCAATTCCTACCGTTACTGGCAGGAGGAATCAAGCCGTTTGGGATATCACACATTCAAGATCACGCAACTTGTGCAGAACATATCGCTTGCGACAATGACCTCGATTGCACCGGTGCCGGCAGTGCCTGCGTCGCTCACCAATGGCATCCACCTCAAAGACCCGGGAGCTGAGGCCGTCCTAGAGAAATACAGGGTTGAACACTCAAAGCGTATCCGGTCTGATGGCCAGTCCCAATATGTATTCTCCCCGCTGGCCGAGTCGTACCGGGAATTCTTCAAGGACATCTGGGTGGACGACAGTCTCCCAGACCCGGGTCGTGACTCGGTAAAAGATGGGTCCTACCACGAATTCCTCATCCTAGGGGCAGGATACGCCGGCCTCTCCATGGCCGCCCGTCTGAGACAGATCGGAGTCGACGCAAATGATATCCGGTTAGTAGACTCTGCTGGTGGATTCGGAGGCACTTGGTGGTTCAACAGGTAGCACACTTGGCCCCTCTTTCTTTGCCCCTTGGGGGGAATGACATGGGCTTTGTCATTCTGATCACAATCGCTAGGTATCCCGGACTCATGTGCGACGTAGAAAGTTACATCTATCTCCCGCTGTTGGAAGAGCTGGATTACATGCCCAAGCACAAATACTCTTACAGCCCCGAACTACGGAGACACGCGGAGAGAATGGCGGAGCGTTACGACTTGGTCGACAAGGCACTCTTCCAGGCCAGATTGGACAGTACCACATGGGATGAATCCACCAAACGATGGACCACGAAAGTTGTCTCCACCAAGAACGGGGAGGTGGGAAGAGAAATAACCGTCCACTCTCGCTTCGTCGTCCTCGCCGGAGGCCCCGTCAACCTGCCGAAAGTTCCACGACTCAGGAACCTGGAAGCCTACAAAGGCCACATGTTCCACACGGCGAGATGGGACTACAAGTATACCGGTGGTACGGAAGAGAAGCCAGACCTCACTAACCTACGTGACAAGTCAGTGGCTATCATCGGCACGGGCGCCACAGCTATCCAAGTGGTGCCCGAGCTGGCGAAATGGGCGAAGCAGCTCTACGTGTTTCAAAGGACACCCTCCGGTGTAGACGTCCGGGGTCAGTGCGCCACCGATCCGACCTGGTGGGAAGAAAAAGTCCGAAGCGTAAAGGGTTGGCAGGAAGAACGCCTTCTTAACTTTGCCAGCTTCTTCAGTCTGGGTCCGCTACCAGAAATGAACCTCGTCGACGATGGCTGGACCCATTTCAGATCGTACACGGCCATGGTGGGCTGCGAGGACGCGCCCACCTCGCCTGAACAGGTCGAGGCCTATGTGGGACGGTTACATGCCGTCGACCTGCCGCGGCAGGAGCGGGTCCGAGCTCGGGTGGATGAGATTGTGAAAGACAAAGCAACCGCCGCCGATCTCAAGGCATGGTATCCCAGTTGGTGTAAGCGACCTTGCTTCCACGACGAGTATCTCCAGTCGTTCAACGAGCCCAACGTCAAACTTGTCCACACCGACGGCCGCGGCATCGACACACTCACCGAGAACGGCGTGTATTCTGACGGCAAGGAATACCCGGTCGACGTCATCATCTTCAGCACCGGCTACGACATCGCCATCGGCATGAGCCCTGCGGGACGCTCCTCGGTCAAAGTCACGGGCCGGAACGGCGTTGACCTTGACGACAAATGGGCCCACCGTCTCGCCACCCTGCACGGCTGCATCAGCAACGGCTTCCCCAACCTGTTCTTCCCGGGCCTGTCGCAGATCGGCGGCATCCCCAGCCAATCTCTAACGGTCGACCACGTCGCCCAGCACATTGCCTGGATCCTGCAACGCGCGGCCCGCGTCCACGGGGGTTCCCGGGCCTTCACGATCGAGCCGACCGTCGAGGCCGAAGAAGCGTGGAGCCAGAAGATCGCCGCGGGCGCCATCGCCTTCACCGCCGCCGCCGACTGTCTGCCCAGCTACTTCAACCGGGAGGGAGACTTGATGCGCAAGGCGCAGGAGAGTCCCGAGACCCTCAAGAACTTTGCCCGAGCCGGGTTCTGGTCCAAAGGATTTCTTGATTTTCTGCGCGAGCTGGACGAGTGGAAGACCAGTCGGCCGTTGGAGGGGGTGGAAGTAACTCTGGATTAGGGTCCGAGTGCATGTATGGTTCTTTGAGAAGAGGGCAGAATATCATCGAAAGAGCTCAGTCGACGAATATGAAACTCCGGCTTTGTCTTTGATGCCCCAGTATAATTGTATCGACAAGCAGGGAGGGGAAGTGTGGTAAGGTACTACGGTAGATAGATTCGCTATCTAGGTATACAAGTCGGTAGGTCCCTGGGAACAATGCAGAAAATAGAATATTGGAGAGAGCATGTAGGAGCTAAGCTTTGTTCGCTCTATGTACCCCGTAATATATTATGCGGTCAAACTATATAAATGGTGCATGTGGATACCCCGACGTGTCTGACAAAGTACGAGGGAACCGACTTCTAGGTACTCCGTTCGAGTGCAACTCTCGTCAGGGTATTGCCCAGGAACAGGAACTTTACAGTCGTTTATCCCCTCTCCTGGTCAAAAGATACGACATTAAGAGCTCCCTATACCAGTCACCGCACCAAATCAGAACGGATGGCCACCTCGACCGGGCTGTCTCGTCGGCCTCGGGACCACTGATTTTCTCGTTCTTGTCGTCTTAGTCGGCTGTGTCTGTGGCCCGGCGCTCTGCGACTGCGACTGTGATTGCTACCTGCTGGTGGATGATGACGGAGTCGGCGTGGTGCTGGCCGCTGACGTCGAACTTGTTGTGCCGCCACCCCCACTCTGCTTCTGAACGGACGCCTGGACAACTTGCCCGGCTGAGTTGAAGACAATGTCGACCAGCGCATTGAGCGGAGCATATGAAAATGTCTTCTCGACAAGACCGCCGGAGAGGGTCTGACTGACACCCGTGTCGGTCATGTTGGTGAGGTAATTTCCGACAATGGTGCTGACGCCGCCGACCTCCTGGACGATGTTGCCGAGGTTGTCGATCAAGAATGACAGCGTCGTTCCACCTTGGGTGATGGAGCCAAGGAGGCCGTCTACCGCGCCTACAATGGGCTCGAGCAATGAGGTGACGTTGTTGATGGCGGAGATCAAGAGAGGGTTGAGGTCCAAGGATTCAAAGACTCGGTTCACAATGTCGACGAGATGGCCCAGACGGACGATCAATTCAAGCTGGGCATCGACGTCGGAAATGGTGAGGTTGACTTCTTGAATGGACAGCGCGACACCGGCATTCAGCGTGACAAGGGACGCCACCTGGGCATTCAGATTGATGTCTGCCCGGAGGTCGTCGACGTCGAGCTCAATCCGACCAACGGAGAGTGTTGGTACGTTTAGGTAGACGTCCGGAGGAGTGGAGGAGGCAGAAGCTGGACTCGGCGTCAGGGTCGGCGAATTCGACGATGAGGTTGGGCTGACAGTCCCCTGCGGCGTCGACAAGGTGGTCGTCTGTGCCAGGATCTGCTGGTTCAACAGAAGCGAGGAGAAGAGCGTGAGAAGCCGAAATATTGAGCGCGCCATTATGTTCTCATCTGACGGTAGAGGAGGGAGAGGGAGAGGCAGGAATCGACGGCCATCCCATCCTCTATATCATCGAACCTACCAACTTTCTTTCCCTCTTTCATGGAGAAACTCCGACGATTCTGGCGCATGGCCAATTTCTCGAGCAAAAGTATCGCTAAATCGCGAAATCTCCCATGTCCAGGAGAAAAATTATTCGATCCCTTGGGACGCGTCGGCTGGACGAGTCTTACACTGGACCAAAGATGTGTGGATGATCTGCGCAGATCCCTGTAGATGGCGCCGTCTCCAACCGGTTTTGCGCATGGCTCTCCATGTTTCAACGGTCCATTGTGGTATAGGGCTGATCTGCCGAGATTGCAGGTGTGGGACAGCCATGGTTTCCCCTGGACTAGCCCATGCGAAAACAGGACTTTTCCCATGTCCGCTCGAATCGGCTTCTGGAAATGCCAAATGGGATGGCCAAAGTGACCCTCGAGAAATTCAAAGACGGAGTGGGCGTGGAAATTGACTCGTCCAAAGGGTTTGCTGCAGGTGTTTGTATACAGATCGAGGTACTCGATAGACTTCCTAACAACTTCTGTAACTCTTTGAATAGCAGCGTCGGGTCTCTCCAACTTCGAGTATCGTCTCTATTCCCTTCATGACGCCCCTCTAGCCACTTTGCCGTGCTCATTGTCATGATTCTCACACTCTTCTGCTCGTTGCTGCTCGCACTCGTCCGATTCAGTTCTTCCCAGTCAGTCTCGTCCAGCGATGGCTATACCGGCTACTCGCTCAGCGTGACCGGCAACGACACTGAATCTGCCGTCTACGAGACCGAGGAGACCGACACTTCGAATGGTGCCGTTACCAACACTAGTCCTCCACCCGACGTCTTTCTCAATGCCAGCGTCTCAGTCGGCGAGATCGACATCACCGTGAAGAACCTATCCGCGAAAATCAACATCGATGCCCAAGTACTCTCCCTCCTTCAATTCAATGCTGGTGTCGATCTGAGCATCAACTCCGTGCAGTTGACCATTCAGAACGTGTCCGCGAAGGTCGAACTCGAGGCACGGCTGGAGAATCTGGTGTTGATGATCAACGACACACTCAACTCGATCGACCTGAACCCTGTGATTGCTACTCTGGGGTCTGATGTCGGCAACCTGGTCGGCGGTGCTCTAGGCGGTAGCAGCACGAGCAGCAGTAGCCCATCGTCGTCAACGAGCGGCCTGTCTGCCCGCTCCGCGCTTCTCGATGAGGGTATCCTCTATTCAATCAACGACTACAGTGGCAACACGCACACAAATCGAATCCTCGACCAGGCCGGCAACATCGTCGATCAGAAACTCCATAACGATGGATCCGTCTTCTCGTCCCAGGTGGTCGGATCGTTCTGGCATGACATGACCTTTACGGGGCACGAGCGGGCCGTCCTTTTCAACGGGGAAAACGCAAAGGAGTTGGAGTATTCGTACACACCATTCAACGGCTTTAGCTCCATCGCTGCTATATATGAGGATGCCAATGGCAATGTATTGGGGACGAGGGTGCTGAGTGAGATTGAGGGCGGAGGGTCGAGTACGATTGCTGACGACTGAAATGGAATTGGGAATCCCTACTCTCTCCGTTTTAGTATTGACTGAAAGAAGCTTAATTCACTCATCAAACGTCTGGACTCCAAACTTTGGATAGGCTGATCTTGGTTATCCCAGGACCATGCTGTCCATCATACCATGTGCATTTTCAGCGCAACGGGGTCTGTCACCATTGTCATATACCACGACGTGACCCTGGAACGTAGAAACGAGCTTCCTTACGAGATAAGTAACTTAGGGTCAACAAGAAGCTCCTACATAAGATCAATGATCGCCGAATATGAGGAGAATCTTCACCAGAAGATCTCGAACAGACTTATGATCCATTTTTAGATCGTATAGTTTAGGAAAGGGGACAAACTCGCCAAGCATAAGAAACCCCCCGAGAAAGCAAATGCAGCAAACAGTGTAAACATGTTTGTGACCTTGACGTATTTTCCAGATGCACCTCGACCTTGAAGGCTGGGAAACAACCCAGGCACTTTTACCTTGTACAGAAGCCCAGTCTTCGGTTCTACAATGCAGCGACTCAGATAAGACGACCCTCTCCATATAACACGCCGCCATGTCTTCGCATTACACGACCGAACCCCCTCCAACTGCCTCAGTTCTTGTCCATACCACCGCTGGGCCCCTCACAATATCTTTGTTCGCGAGCCAAACGCCCCTGACATGCAGGAACTTCCTGCAGCACGTTCTCGACGAGGACTACAACAACAACATCTTCCATCGTGTCTCCCCAGGCTTCGTCATTCAGACGGGCGACCCCACCGGCACTGGCGAAGGTGGACAACACATATACGAGGACAGGGAATTTGAGCGATATGATGAAGACTGGGCACGGCTGATGGGCAGGGAAGAGGGAGAGAAGATTAATTTTGGAGATGAAATCCACAGCAGGCTGCGGTTCAACAGGAGGGGGCTGGTTGGTATGGCGAAAGGCACCGGGGACGGCGCGGGATATGGCAGTCAGTTCTTCATCACGCTCGGAGATTGTAGGGCTCAACTAGACGGCAAGTGCACCATGTTTGGCCGGATCGAGGGCGACGGCATTTACAACGTGGTCAAAATCGCGGAAGGCGAGCTGCTGGAGGGCAGTGAGAGACCAATGTATCCCGAGAAGATTCTCAGGGTTGAAATCATCGAGATGCCAAAAGGTGACGCATGGCAGAAAATGCGGAAAAGGAACAAGGTTGCAGAACGCACTGTCGAAGCTCCTGCAAAGAAAAAGGCTGCGAAAAAGAAGGGTGGGAAGACGCTGCTCAGCTTTGCCGGGGATGAAGGCGAGGACGATGTCGGTCCAGTCGCTGTGCGACCAAGGAAACCTAAATTTAACCCGGCCTTAATCGATAGTGATGATGTGCCTGAATCGAAGCCAAAGCCAAAGGCGAACGGCACAGCGTCTAAAGCTCAGTCGCTCGAGAAACCACAACGAAGATCACCTTCACCCACAGTTCCGCAAAAGCGCAAAGCAAGTGTCGCAGGTTCAACAAAATCTCCGTCGCCGGTACAGCGGCGGAAGCCATCATTCCACGACCCACTGACTCAACTCCCTCTGCGGGATCCAGAATCGCCGTCTCGATCTCCCACGCCGGAAGAACAACCGGCAGCGTCCAAAACTTCTGCACTAGAAGCCGAGATCGCTGCCTTGAAAGCGTCCATGCGCCGGAATGTGGACAACAATGCCAATGGCTCCAAGACCAAGAAGTCAGCGTTAGAATTGTTGATCCCGGCAACAAGCACGAGAGGTCGCAAACGGCCTCGTCCAGGCGAATCCAATGCGCATGACGAAGCTAAAGCGCTCAAGATGCTAAACGCATTCAAAGCACGGCTGGAGTCAGCCGATGCACAGGGTAAAGCAGCTCACTCCTCCAAGCCCGCCAATGGCCACAAAGATCGCAAAGACAACAGCTCCTCTACGGAAACCCTAGAACCAGTGGCCGATCCGCCCCCATCGAAACGCGATGACGGCGGAGGGGAAGAAGACGAAGAAGCGGTCTTGTGCGACCTGCATTTCATCGCAAACTGCCAATCGTGTTCGAAATGGGACGACCCGACCAACGCCGAGGCCGACGAGTCCGAGGACGATTCGCAGTGGATGAGCCACTCGTTGTCGTTCGCCAAAGACCGGCTCGGTAAGGACCTGAACTGGAAGAGGAAGAACGAAGAGGAACTGGTGGTCATTGACCCGCGCGAGAAGGAGAAGGAGTTGAAGATGGGAAAGAGCCGCGACAGAGATAAAGATCGGGAGAGGGACAAAGGGAAAGGCAAGGGCAAGGAGAGACGGTGGTAATCTTGTGTACGAGTAATTGCGTTATCTTGGATCAAGAAGAGTCTGGGTCTCCAATGGACTAAGTCCCCTATTTACCGACGGAATCAACGAGCAACATAAAAGGCCAGATCGACCGACTCGCCATGCTGCTCCTTCTCCTCAGCATCGATCTCGAGCCTGGTGAAGCCGTTACCCAGGATGCCACGCCAACGGTTCCGCGAGCGGTAGCGCACGTCCCAGTCCTCGCCGCGGATTTCGCGCAGTATTACCTCGCGGTAGAGCAGGGCGCTGCCGGGCCAGGTGGCGGTGACGCGGCCGTCGACGCGGTTCTTCTTGTACCAGCTCTTGCAGCCGCCCGTCCAGGTGAGGGTCTGCTGGATCTCGTCGCCGTAGGTGACGAACTCGTCGGTGGCGTCCTGCCGGGGTGCCGCTGAGTGGATGTCCTCACCAGCGATCTTGTGCAGCCACTTGACAATGTACTCGGCCGTCCAGGTCATGCTGGTGATGAGCGTGCCGTGGCCGACGGTGGCATTAGGCCCCGTGAAGATGAAGTAGTTTGGGAAATCCGGACACGCCACGCTCAGGTAGCTCTCGGGCTCGTCTTTCCACTTCTCCGCCAGCGTCATCCCGTTGCGCCCCGTCACGGGGTAGTGCGGGATGTGCGATACGTCGAACCCCGTGGCGCACACGATCACGTCCAGGTCGTAGTGCGTGCCGGATTCCGTCTCGATGCCCGTCTCGGTGATGCGCGCGATGGACGATTTCTCCAATGACACCGTTGGCAATAGGAAGGATTCTAGGTAGCCTTCGCCAGGGGTCAAGCGGCGGCAACCGAGCGTCCAGTTGGGGATGAGCTTCTCGCAGAGTTCTGGGTTGTTGTTCAATGCTGCTCGCATGCGCTCAACTGTGACTTGGGTGGATTTGGCGTTTTGGACAGAACCTTTGCGGAACTGTTCGCCGTTACCAAAGGCAAATCAATATCAGACAGAGCTTCTGAAGAAAAAGCGGATTGATTTGGGGATCGACTTACCAGCCTGAATCCTTTGTTCATGCCATGTTGCAGCATCTTCCGATATGCCTTGTGTTTTGCAGGATTTCGGAACCGCCTTTTGTCGGCCTTGGTGTATCCAGGGTTAAACTTGCTCCCTACCTCTTCACCGACTTCCGTCATATCAACACCTTCGTCGCCATTCGCCATCTCCTGATCCTCGGCGCCCTCGTCGTCGGGTTGCCCACCGCCACCGACACCGAGCGCCTCGCCCAGACTCTGAGTGATCCAGGTGGCTCCCCTCTGAAAGCTCACCACCTGGGTGCCCGGCAACTTGGCCATCTGTGGCAAAATCTGGATAGCGGACGATCCGTTTCCGATGATTCCAATTCGTTTGTGCGAGTAGTCGAAGGAGTGATCCCAGGCTGCTGAGTGGACTTTGTGGCCCTTGAACGTCTCAATGCCGGGTATATCTGGCCATTTCCATTGGCTGGTGCGCGGAGACAGAAATGAGAGTGTATCAGCATTGATAGGTGGCAAATATCGAACAAGAAAGACTCTGGCTGGTATCTCTGTCTGCACGGAGTAGCAGGAAAAAACACACTCACCTGAGAAAGCCCTGAGCTGAGACGAGGACGTCGGCGAACTCATCCCTTTCCTCCTGTCCGTCCTTCCGGACACGGATCTTCCACTTCCCCTCCTCTTCCAGCCACTCGAGAGCAACGACGCGCGTATTGAACTGAATGTCTCGATTGAGATTCCACTTCTTGACCGTCCGCTGGATATACTCCAGAATCTCCGGCCCATCGGCATAGAACTTTGACCAGTCGGGATTCGGATCAAAGGGGAAAGCCTAGGTCCAAGAAAGAAATCAATTACCTCGTCCGCCACATCAGACAAACCCCGCAAAGGAGAAGAGGTAGAGATAGATGGTAGACTGACATAGATATGGGCCGGCACGTCGCACTGCACGCCCGGGTACGTGTTGGCCTTCCACGTGCCGCCGACATCGTCGTTGGCCTCGAAGATGACATGATCCACAAATTCCTGCAGCTCGGGCTGCTCATGCTGGATCTTGTGCGCGAAGATCAACCCCGAGAAGCCAGCGCCGATCGTGGCGACGCGCAATTTGCGCTTCTTGTACGCATACTCGTCCGACAGTGGGACCCATACTTCCTTCAGCCGTTCAGGGGAGACCATGTTCGCGGACAGCGAGAATCTTTGTAATATCACGAGAGACCGCCAGGGGAAGAGGGGGGGGGGGGCGCGCTTAGGAAGCGAAGCAGTCAGTGTGGCCCTGGGACGGAGGGAAGACAAGGCTCATATAAAAAACCACAGACGAGGCGAAGACTCGACTTCGACGCGAACGTCAGCCTTCCCATCTCTAATATTAGTGTTATTATTCCGTGGCTTTGTGTTTCCTCTTCTCCGGCTCTGTGAATTGGAGAACTGCATCTTGCCTCGGCCAAGGCAATCCAATATACCGAATGTGTCAGCCCATTTCCCCGCATGGATTCCTCCATCAGAACGATAAACTGCGGTTTGCTTGGCCGTAGATCCCTCCTTGAGTGGTCAGGCTGTACCTCGTAGATGGGAAGAGACAAATAGGATGCAAGATGACACGAAACTCTCACAGAGAAACAAGGAGCCGGGCGCAGGAGCCTCGAAATATGACGCGACGTCTCTTCCCATTTTATATATACTTGTACGGATTCATAATTCCGTTGGGATCGTAAAGATCCTTGATCTGCTTCATTAGCTTGATCATCGTCTCACTTCGGCTGTATCCGATGTATTTCTTTTTGGCGATGCCTAGGCCATGTTCCGCGCTGATGCTTCCGTTGCGTTTTTGGATCCATTCATACACCCACGGTTCTATCGCTTCTTCGACTTCTTTTGTATATTTGCGTACGGGGATATTCAAGTGCAGATTCGCGTCACCCATATGTCCATAGCCGACCACAGCAATCGCGGGGAAAGAGTCGTCATCACCTACCAAACCTTTCGAAGTGAGTCTATCTCTCGTGTCTTCCACGAGTTGGTACAGTTCTTGAATCGGGATCGAAAGGTCGTATTTGTAAGTCCCGCCAAAGTGGCCAATGGCCTCGGTGATGCCCTCTCGCCATGCCCAGAGAGATTTAGCCTGTGTCTCGTCCTGGGCGAGGACACCGTCCGAGACAATCTCTTCACTCATAACGTATTCCAAGAACTTTTCCAGCTTTTCACTGTCGTGTTCTGTATTGGAACCACTGGTTTCAATCAAGCAATAGAAGGGATGGTCACCTTCCAATGGTCTTTGTTTGCCGGTGACTTGGTGAACGAAGCCCTGACTTCGAGCATCCATGAGTTCAAAGGCAGACAGAATTTCTCCAAGCTGGACCTTTGCTTCCTTGTAAGCCTTTTGGACATTCTCGAACGAAGAGAGTCCGAAATATGCCACGTTGACTGCTTTGCACCTCTGAGGGCACACCACCGACACGCCTGTGATGACTCCGATCGTCCCCTCTCCGCCAATGAAGAGTTGCTTCAAGTCGTAGCCCGTGTTGTTTTTCCGCAGAGTACCAAGATCGTCGACAACAGTGCCGTCCGGTAGTACTGCCTCGATTCCAAGAACATTGCCGTGTAACGAACCGTAACGTAGCAGTCTCAGCCCTCCGGCATTGGTCGCAACGTTTCCACCTATCTGGGCGGATCCTTTGGCACCAAGGTCAAGGGGAAAGAGATGGTTATGCTCGGCAAGGTAATTGTCGGCTACTTCGAGTATAACGCCAGCATCGACCACCAGGATGCCGCTGATGTCGTCGAAACTGCGGATTTTGTTCATTCGGGAGACTGAGATGACAATTTCGTCAAAGACCGGCACACTGCCGCCAACCAGCCCCGAGTTTCCACCTTGGGGTACCACAGCCAGCTTATTGTCATTACAATATTTGAGTATTTTGCTGACTTCTTCTGTGCTCTTGGGTCTCAAGACGAGTTTGGTATGGCCTCTGTATTTCCTCATCCAATCGGTGTTGAAAGCCTCCAGGTCATCTGAAGCATCGGTGGTCACTCCATCAATGACCGCAGCATCGTCGCCAAGGGCAGACTTGAAGAACTGGATATGATCGGGCGTGATTTCAGCGAACCGTGGGTCTCGTTTGAGAGTGGGATACATGTCGGTCGTGTATTTGACATTGCGATGGGGTTCGCTGGGGTCCTCTCGTCGTCGACTCGTGACGGAGAAGTTTCGCGTGGGCTCAAACAAGGGCCGCAGAGGTTGGCACTGTCTGGCTTGCGACCGAGGTGTTGAAGGTCTTTTGGTCTGGCGCAGGGCGCGCACCAGACCTCTTGATACTGAACCGGACATGCCTGCCGGCTTTGGGGACTTTTGTTGACGGAGTGCAGGGCGTGTAGTCAAGGAAAAAGAGGAATTAGAGAAATGATATCAAGCGAGCAGGGAAATTCGTCTCTCGCCATCGCATTGATTGCCGGTCTTCGGCAACTGCTTTTCCGGGAATCTCCACTTAAAAGTACAAAGCGACCGGCGGGGCTCTCCGGAGGTGCTTGGCGAGGATGCAGCAGAGCCTTGTTCCAAGAGCAGCCTCCTTCCTCACCTCTCTTGCCTCTTCATGGCCTCCGTACCAAACCAAAATAACGAGACAATTATCTGCGACTGAAAGAAATGAGGACTTAAGAATTTCCGGAAAGATTGAGCCGGTAACACCGAATCAGAACGTAATCATTCCCAATCATCACAAGGCTAACCTCATTCACGATCCGACTTTTTCGTTTCCGAGTATACGTTCGGAACATGATCTACTGGTAGCCACGATAATCGTCCATCTCAGTTTAGGTCGTCCCATAACCTATCAAAAGCACGGGTTGGCCCGCTTGTCGTCGCTCCTCAGTCGTTACAAAAGTCCTGCACTCGTGGCTGCCGGGATATAAGCCAATTTGGGAAATCTCCGCGCCAGTGAGATCCAATCCCCCATCTCCCGAGGAACCGATATATTATAGCCTCTGACAATAATCCACAACATTATTGGAGATACTTAAGGTTCATATAGAGAATGGATCGTTCTGTCTTGAGTGGCATCTGGTTCTGGAGTTCCCTTAAGCTGCTGTTGGCTCCGAGTCGTTGATAACATTGTATTGATGAGATCCGTACTGCTTCAACGACTGATGTATCGAGGAGCCCATGACTTTGCACGTGCTTAAACTCATCCGGAACATTAAGTCCTTTCGTAGCAGAGTCCCTGACAATAATCCAGGAGACAGTCCGTATTTCTGGCGATTGTTAGTTCTGCAAAGCTGAAAAGGAAGTGTAGAAGGCGAAGGCGAAGGCGATGGCGATGGCGATGGTGACCGATATTGTCACGCCTAGACTGCGAAGTTGGGAATCAGAGTCACCATGAGACATCCCATGCAATCTGCGAAGTTGTATCTTTTGACTGGTGGTTGGTCGGTTGACTAGAATATCATACCTTCTTTTCGCCCTCCGGTTATCAGCGAAGGATGACTAAGGTCGATAACCCATTCGGTAGGGCCGTGATGCTTTAACCGCTGAGACTTCCCTCAAATGTGCTTCCCGATCACTTTGTATCTTGGATACAGCGCGCTCTGCATGTCCTCGACTGTTCCTCGGCAGACGACGAAACGGAACAGTTGGCCTTAACGTCGGACTTATGGATACCAGAAATTGCAGAGTGTTCCTCTGCAGATGGCGTAGCACAGGAAGTAGTCTGTTTCTCTAGCCTCGCCACACCATCTACCAAGTGTCCCTCCACCAAGACATGAATATGAGCACAGGAGGAGGTGAAAAGGAAGGTCAAACGAAGGAGCACTCGGCGTGCGATAGGAAAATGATGCTAAATAAAGCGGCGCTGAACGCTAGACCCAATGAGGGAACAGCACTAGTGAAAGATATTAATATTTTGCGGGGAAACGGTCCACCTACCTTACCATTGCATTCAGGGGGACAAACCTCCAAGGGTCATCACTTTCACTAACCTGCAATATCGCCTTCATCATCTCCGTCACCGTCGTTGTCCGATCGCGATATTTCCCGGAACGGCTTTAATCTGATCTGCATCGAGGTCCGACATATCTCATCTCCTAGGAGCGTTTGTGCGTTAGCTCTCGAAAGACCGTCTCACCAGCACCTGAGCGCGGGTTCCACGTACACATAACTGGACAGTTACAAGGCCCCGAAACGAGTCACCACACCTAACTCTCGTCGGCGCACACGAGTCATGGAGTCAATTACTTCGACCGTCGCGACACAGTACCACAAATTCATCGACGCGGTCAATGCCCGACCACGCCAGACTGCGGCAACGACGACCGCGGTCGCGCTGACGCTGTCCCTCGCGTGGGTGCTGAACGATTTCCACGCGTGGAAGTCCTTCGGCACGGGAGGCACGCCGCCCACCTGGGCCGGGTACTGGCGCATGACGAAGCTCCGCCTGAACCGCCTGCTGCTGTTCGGCAAGGACGACCTTTCCGACCCGTCGCCTCTCTCGTCCGCGGGACCCAGGTATCTCGACCCAGCGACCATCCCGGCGCGGGAGGGCGCCAGACCGTCAATCATGGCCCGCACTATGCCGCAGCGCCAGGTGCCATACAAGACCGGCACGGCGGACCCGGGGGTCGAAGAACGGGTGTCGTCCATGATGGCCTCGTTGGCCGCTAAAAACCCTTCCGTCCTGGACCTCCGCCCCAGCAAGACCGAAGGCGGCAGCACCGACGCCATCTACGCGAAACCCACCCTCGAAACTCTCAACGCCAAGGCCAAGGACAACAAGATCCTAGGTACGGAAATCGCCCATGTGCATCCCTCCGACGGGAGCCTGCACGTCTGGCTGTCCGAGGCGGATGCCAAGACCGTCGTCGAGAAGGGCTGGGGATTGAGGTTCCCGCTCAAGTTTGTCGATAAAGGGTGGGCAATGGTCTATGCTCCGCGCACAATGGCCGAGGTGGACGTTGTGGAGAGCATCGTGCGAGCGGGGATTGCGTGGGTCGCTGGCGTTGAGGTCTAAGGGACTTAAAATTCGAGGAGAGCTGCTTCGGTTACAGGGACTGTGCTTTCCAATCATTATTACTATTTTACACTCTCCTATCCCACGTTCTGGGTGAGTGAATGGGGCTCTTGGTATCTGCTGGGAAGGGGCAAGGGAGAAAGGCCTCGGAAAGTTACGCATGCAGGAAGAATTAAGTCC